TCAGATTCCAATACTACGAGAGTCAGCCATGTAGCAGGGACGTGCAGTGTTTTGAAATGTTTTTGCCTAATTTCAGAAGCAATAACAGCTCCCAAAGCAATGAGAGAGAAGGGAAACAAGAAGCTTTCGTGTTATAACTTTAGTCATAATGATGATGCTGGAGACAAAACTGCATGCTCAAACCAAGTAAAATCCATGAATATGATGTGTGAGTTTATGCTGCATGAACATTTCACATTGTGCAAGAAGTCCATTTCTACATAGCATGCTATTGTAGTGTTCAAATTATGGTGTCAAACATGCCCTTTCAGATGACAGGTGACCGGCACAAGTGGACTCAAAGAAGAGATGAAAGAACTTATTCTCTTAATCTATCACTTTACAGAAACATATTTTATTGGTTAAGGTATTAGATGTTTGATCCATAACTGACTTTCACCAATTGCATTCAATTCGATCACATGCGATCAAAGTTCAACAGACAATACCATACATTGACTCTACACAGCAAAAGATAGGGAAATGGATGTAGTAACCTGAAAAAGGAGGAATCCCCATTTCCACTCCCATCTGAACAAGTGCTTTCCTTATCTCACTCTTGCAAATCTTTCCTTTATCTTCTATATCCAAATCAGTAAACAGATTCTCTGCTAACATAGCATAATCATCTTCATCCTCCAAAAACAGCTTTAAAGTATTCCCATCCAATATTGACACCACTAGGGGATCATCTGAACCATATATCAATAAAAAAAAAATCAATAATTAAAATAAACTCAAGGCCAAAAAATGAAAAAACCCAGATCAGGAAATCACCATATAATTAAACTATGCCATACAGTTTAGCTTTTAGATAAAAAAAAGTCAAGAAAAAGAAACAATTACATAAAGTCAAAATAACCCAGATCATAAAATCACCCAAAAAATTAAAATTGCTAAAAAGTTTAACTTTTCTTGATAATCTTAATCATCTAGTAATCCAGCTGACTTGGTCCTCCCTGACCTTTCAAACCATCAGCAATGGCATAGATGTAGTCAGACAGAACCTTGGACGCTTTTTCTCCGGAGAGCTCCTTTCTGCGGAAAGTAACATCATCATCGCCTGCGCCGGCGGTGACACGAGAAAGAGCGGAGGCTTTGACTTTTTGAGGCAATGAGAGGCCAAAGAGAGAGCTGCAGGCTTTGGAGTCAGCGATTTCGAGGAGTTGAGCTCCCGTTACGCTGCCGTTAAGTTCGGGCAAAGAGAGATTGAGTGATCGTAGATGGCTTCCATCAAGCACCGTTAAACCTCCTTCAGACATTGCAAGAGAGAGAGAGAGACGAGATAGTTTCAGTTTCAGACAAAACTGAGAGAAATACTGTTTGTAGACTATATTGGTTTTGTTTTGTACGTTTGTTTGTTCGCTTTTATAGTTTGAGCGTGCATTTTGGTTTGGGACTTATATTTTGCTAAAATATCACAAATGCCCTTGTTTTTTTTTTGAAATATCAAGATTTTATTTTATTTTTTGAAATCTCAATAAATATTATTATTTCATAATTTCTTAAACCCTAAGACCACCTCTAGTCTTATTTAAACTTGTGATGAGTAATAGTTTTATTATTTGAAATCAATTATAAGATATTTAATTTTATTTAATCGGTTTAAGTAATATAGAGTATCGGATTATAAAATATCTATTGATATTTTTATGTGTTAAATTAGATATAAAAATAAAGAAAAACGAAAGATCGATTAGTTGAATAAAGAGTTACGGGGAAATGGAGTCAAAAGAATTGCTTATTTTTTGAGCAACTCTAACAATTGCTTTCACCATTTTTAAAATTTTTTTCCCACTTCCCTTATTACTAAAGTTAATAATTCCTTCCCATATAAGATATCATGTGCTTGGTGGCTTGTATGTAACAAATGGTTCCTTAATGTGACCTTGTCATATGCAAGTCAAATTTTACAAGTTCTTTGTTTCATCAATCAAAATCAATTAAATTTTTTTAAGTATATGATTTTTTATTAATAAGTATAGGAGCAAAACAATTATAATAAATTTCAATATTTATATTTCAACAATTTAATTACAAACTAACAATAATTTTAGTAGACCAAAAATGTCATATTTAACAAGTTTATCAATTAATTCATTTAAGACCCGAAAAATATATATACATTGTTGTACCATTCATGGCAAATGAAGTGATTTTTGTACTCAACTTAGTATTTAACATATGTCTGATTTAGTCTTAACTAAAGTCTTCTTTCTAGAATATATATACTTTTTCATTTTTTTGGTTAATTTTATTTGTTCTAAAATATAAAGGTAGAGTCTTATACCTTTAATTTGTTGTAATTTAACAAAGGAAAGAAGGACAAAGAGGTAAGGGGCCATGAACGTGGGGAATGGGCATTGCTGAAGACACCAGAGTCAAATGGGTTTACGCGGTTTCACGCATTGGTTCATAGGAGCTTCAATATCATTTGGGCCCACTTCGGTGTAAAGTCCACTTCCAACTTTTAGGTCTTGATATTATCCCAAAAAATAAAAAATAAAATGCCCTCTTCAATATTTGAAATCATAAACTGAAAATTTGAAAATAGTGGATATTTTAGTGATTAAGTAAAAAAGATTGATCATATTTTAATTGATTAGGAATCTACAAAAATGGGATAGATGTATAAATATATAAATTTTAAATTGAACCGATAGACTCTATCTATAAATTATTGTTAAGATTAAAAATTTAAACATAAATAAATAATCAAAAAATTAAATAGATAAAAGATTTGTTTTGTTTTTTTATAATATTGTGCGGACTCTGTCGCAAAAATGAAGTGGATGGAACTAAATTGTTCTTTATTTGTTTTTTTTTAATGTCGAGAATTGTTAATTAGTAATTTAATTATGTTTTCTTTTCATATATTAGGTGGAGTTTGGAATTATTAAGTTTTTGAATATTCTACTTCTGTTTTCGAGTTTGGGATGGCCTAGCTCCTTGCAAGGCCGAGGTTGCATCCTTTTGTTAATGGGTATTAATTGAAACCACAAACTGATTTTTTTGTTTTTCTTGTATAGAGGCGTAGAAATCATGGGGCTATGGAGATAGGGATGCTTCAGCCTTTTTTATTTTACAGGAACCGTCACCATAGACTTGAGTATAATGAAATTTAATGTTGATGGATCTTCACTAGGAAAATCGAGTAATGTTGGCATATTGGTTGTTATCTGTGATGAGAGAGGTAGGCTGAAAATCATGTTTTCAAAAGTAATTGGTGTTGTGAATTCTAATGTGGCTGAATAAGCAATTAGAGAGACTATTATTATTATTTTTACTGTCTTAAAGTGGTCTAATTCATCAACCAATTAGGTTAGATAGGTTCTTAACCCAAACACTATACTATGGAAGTTAGGCTAAGTATAGGTGTCAAGTTGTAATGAAGATTATTCTGTGAAGGGAATATTAGAAAGAATTTGTTATGTTACAAGCATTAACTGTGCTCTACTATATCTATTCCCTGCAGGCGAACCAATCTGTTCGGATCAAACAATAGGGTTCCGTTTGGATCAAGTCACAAAGGAATTCAAGATTGTTCGATTGTTTGGTCGGGAAGGGATCTATCTCGATTTTAGTGAGTGTGAGGTTCTGACATTGGGTCCAGACCCAGAGGTTTCGCGCAGAAAGTTAGGTGAAGCACCTTACTCAGTCAGTTTATCATCAGCAAAATGGCCTGTCTATGTTAATGGGGCAATCTATTGGATGACTAGTTTCAGGAGACACCCTTCGGAGGCAATCGTCTCCTTCGATCTCCATACAGAGAAATTCAAAGCAATCCCACATCCGAGTTGTCTGGATAGTGACCTTAAGAGATACGAGGTGGCCTTAAAGCCTTTTGAGAAACTTTATTTGCCTGGCTGAGTTAACTAATGCTAACAAGAAGATGAACATATGGATTTTCATGAAAGATTGCAACTCATCACCAGGTTTGAATGACAACATGGGAGCTTGGGAGATGCTGCGTTCTATTGATTTGGAGATTAGGGTACACGATTGGCCAATAAGAATTCCAATTGCGGAGCATAAGAACGGAATGCTTTCTACCAACTATTATGGATATTGGGTGCAACTATACAATCCAAAGAGAAAAATGTTCACGAATGTGCTATCGCATTGAAGAACATTTGCTCCTACTGCATACTTTGAAAGTTTAGTCCCTCTATATGCAAAAACAACATGGGTTAATTAGTATTTGATATGGTAATGATTTCATTAAAGAAAGTTTTGCTTTCATTTATTCCGGCAGTGCAACTCAATCAATAACAGTAAACCCCTTTTTTTTTGCATTATTCTTTCACCTAATAACCAAGGAAAAAAAGAAAGAAGAAAAACCAAAGTTAAGCCAACTCATCAAAAGTAGGAGAATAATGCAGCATTGTCAAGCATCAGCATAATAACTCAAATTACATATGATCTATGCTCAATTATTGTACTTAACTAGGCTTCTGCTCAAGATTAGAAAGAACCCAACAATCTCGGGAACTTTGCTTTAGTTGTTTGTATTTATACAGTTTTTTTCGAGTCAAAATATTTCAATAGTTTTTATATTTGTGTACTTTTTTTAATTATTGTGATTTTGAATAGAAAGATTAAATTAAATAAAATATACAAATATAAAAATTATTGAGATATTTTGATAATCTTTTTTGTTAATACTGATGAAATATTTTTTACAAGAAAGTTAACTACATTATGATTCTCTTGTGAATACAAATAGAATGTCCGTATAAGAAAATGTTTATGTAAGTTAATTGATGAAGAGTTTGAAATGATGGATGTTAACATGAAAGTGAATAAAATCTTGATAACACTCATTAATTGGAGTCATTTTATATATATTTTTTAATTTTCAATGTTATGTTCTAATAATTGTACCTATACATATATACTTGTATTTTTCTGAAATCTACCTCAAGACTCAAGCTTTCCTTGCATTATCAAAATTTCCAATCTAATGTACTGGCAGGGGAAGTGAATAGTGATAAAAAAATAGAGCAAAAGACAAAAAAAACCCAGCATTGGCATTACCGCAAGAATAGAAGTATAAAGTCCATCGCCGCCTGTACTGACAAGAGGGAAATTGAGAGAAATAATGGCAGGCCGCGGCAGAACAAGCCGGCAAAACAAGGATAATTGGCCTCAAGATCTTCTCCTTTCGATCTTGGCTACCCTTCCTGCCAAGTCTTTGTTGCGATTCAAATGCGTGTCCAAGCATTGGCGATCACTGATCATCAACCCTGGTTTCATCGAACAACATCTTGAAAACCAACAGAAAAAAGAGTACCCTCAATTGATATTTGCCTCTGGAACTACAACCGAAATAGTTTTGGGATCCGTGGACATCGTCGATGTTGAAGTTGATGATGAAGAAGGAGCAAAGACCAGGAAAGGTTTCAAACGAAGATCTTTGAATATCTGTCATCTTCCACCTGATGGTTACTGCATGTCCAATTCTTGTGATGGAATTCTTTGCTTCTTTGGGGAAACTAATGTCTTTGTTTACAATCCCGGAACTAGAGAGTTTCGGATTCTTCAGATGGGAAAGAAGAGATCTTCCCGTGGTCCTTCCTACTCTTCTGATTGCTTCGGTACGCACTTTTCCCTTCTCTTATGTTTAGATAGATAGAATTAAAGCAAGGGTGTTCACTAGAATTAAAGCAAGGTCCTTTTTTTTCATGATGATGGTGTCTCTTTTTGTGTGTGTATGTTTTCAAATTCATCGTTAGGGCGGAATTCTTTGGGATTTAAAGGTGCAGTGTTTTATTTGTGAAAGGCAGCTGATGATTTTTCAGTATGGTTGCTGTGTACATGGCCTTGATATTCAGAGTGTATAGGAATTGTCTGTTTTTGTTTTGGGTATTTTGTTTCTGTGGGATGATGGACTTTTAGGGGAGATGCTGTCCAATTTTTTGTAATTTGGGGAGTATGCGTACTTAATCCGATGCATAAACCTGGAAATTATGTCTCTTGTATTGGCCATGGGAGTGATGATTTATCACACCCAGATTTAATGAATTCCACTTCCCTTTCAAAGATAAAAAAAATAGTGTCAGCTGCTTTAGCTTTGATGCAAAGCTAATTTAGCTTTGTATATTGTTTGTTGTATAGAGGATAATCTTTGTCTTGAATTTTGAGAGACAAAGGATTCTGTATACTTCTGTTAATGTTCCTGAATAAAGTGATTGCAAAGCAGGGGATGCCCAGGGTGAAGGGCTACATGGCCTGGTTAGAGGTTTTTGAAGTGCTTTCTGTTTCTTTTGGGTATCTTCTTTGCAGGAAACTAATAATAGAGCTTATTATGATATCTTCTTTGCAGGACAACGATTTCCAGCACATCAATTAGTAGGGTTTGGTCGTGATCAAGTTACAAAAGAATGCAAAATTATACGATTGTTTATACCTATAGAGGAACAAGAAAACCATATTCATGAGTGCGAGGTTTTTACATTGAGTTCAGATGCTGGGGCTTCATGGAGGGCTCTTGGCGTAGTTGGTTACTTCATTAGGCCAGCACAACAACCTGTCTTTGTCAATGGAGCACTTCACTGGATCCTTGACGTCAGACATGCTAACCCTTCCGAGGTGATCGTCTCCTTCGATCTCCATACTGAGAAATTCCAAGCAATATCGCACCCGAGTTGTTGCTCAGAAGCCTCAGATCGTCGTATGCAGCATTTTATGGGGTTACTATCTTTGAGAAGCTCTCTATGTCTAGTACAATCAGAATACAGGCTGCGACTGAATATATGGATAATGAATCAAAGCAATGGAGTTTGGGAGAAACTGTTTACTATTGATTTGGGATTGATGAATTATAGAACTCCATTGGCATTTCCAATAGCAGAACTCAAGGATGGAACCTTTTTTGTTTCCCATTTTGGGGAGAACTTGCAAATATATGATCCAGAGAGCCAAAGTTTTAGTGAAGTATTGATACAACATGAAAGAAGGGTTGTGTCCTATGCATACTCTGAAAGTTTAGTCCCTCTTTATGGAGAGCCACTGGTGTATTGATCGAGTTGTAAATAATATGTATTAATTTTTTTATGTGAAAAGCTGGAATTTGATTCATTGCTTCAATGAAGTCAGCAAAAAACTACCATTTTTGTGGTGCTGGTAGGGCTATACGACAACCCAGTAGGCAGGCATACCTGCCAATTCTAAGTAGAGTGTCAGGACTCCTCCCCAATGGATCTCAAAAGCCCGACCACAGCAGCCAGTAATTACCCAATGTCAGCCAAAGACCCATCTGCAGGCCTTCCCTAGCTGTAGCAGACTCATGGTTAGACACCAACGTCCCCTGGCTCTTGTGGTGGCAGTATCACCGCTGGACCACAACCCCGTCCCCAATAAAACATTTCAAAAATCAGAATGCTATTTCATGTCTCTAGTTATTCTGTCTAAAGACTGTCCATGGCAATGCAATCTGATTTGGGCTTTCATCACAACTGTAGAGTTACAAAAACAACAGGCCGCACACAAATAAAAAGCCGCTTATGACACTCAGCCTATATTGCACAATTCACAACCATCAGGCTGAGTCCACCTAATAAAACAATCGATCCAAATGACACCTGTACGCATGGCATGCACTAAACAAACACCACACAACACAACCAGAAGATGAACTCCACTTACTACCAAGCAGAAACACAAAAAAGGACAAGCAACCTTTTCATATCAACATCAAAACTGATCCAGCAAAGCAATAGCTAAGAAGTAGAGAGAAAAAACACTGTAAAGATCGCAAGAATCATCACCCTGCCAAGCACAAGCCTTGGCAGCATCCGTCCCTCTTGACTTCATCCAAGTCTTGGAGTCCCTTTAAGAACCCTCAAGCCAGTAACGTAAGACTCCATTCCACGAGATAACGGGATTCACCGTGTCTCCCTTCAGCTTCGCTCTCAAGCCTTCCTCTTGTCCTTCTCATCCAATCTGTTGGAGCCACCGTATCCAGCAAGCACAAAACAATTGAACAAAACGTCAACTAGAGTCAACCTACTTTAAACCAGCTTCAGTTCACTCACGTCCCCATCCACCTCCACAACATCAAACAATCCCCCCAAGTATGACTCCTTCTCTCACCCCAATATCCACCTCCAAACGCCTCTCTCCTCCTAAGCAAAAATTAACTAGGCTCCTGCCCAAGAATAGAAAGAACCCAACGACGTTGGGAACTTTCCTTTGGCTGTTTGCATTTACAAGATTTTTTTCTTTAGCGCTGATGAAATATTTTCTAGAGGAGTTAACTACTGTACTGATTCTCTGGTGAATAGAAATCAAATGTTTTTACAAGAAAATGTTTCTGTGAGTTAATTGATGAGGACTCTAAAATGAAGGACATTGTCGATGAAAGTGAATAAAATCTTAATAACACTCACATTAGTACATTAATTGAAGTCATTTCATAATTTTTTTTATATTTCATAATGCTATATTCTAAATAATTGTACCTATATGTGTATATACTATTTTATGCATACTATCTCCAAACTAATGCAATGATCAAGAGAAAAGAATTTTAAAGACAAAAAACACCATTGGGATTACCGCAGTTATTTATACAGGTATTAAAACAAAAGTCAAATGGAAAGAGAGATATAATGGCAGGCCGCGACGGAACAAGCCTGCAAAACAACAAGGATGATTGGCCTCAAGATCTTCTCCTTTCGATCTTCGGTGCCATTTTTGAATATAAAACTCCACCGCATGCTTATCATCGTCAGAACTCAACTGATAGAAACCCCCGTTATGTAATTGCCTTCCGAGGTACCTTAATCAAACTAGATTCCTTTGCAAGAGACCTTGAGTTGGATATCCACGTAATTCGCAATGGACTCCACCAGACTACTCGCTTTGGGATCGCCATGAAAGCTGTTCGAGACATGGTTGCCGCCGTGGGTGATTCGAATGTCTGGTTAACTGGTCATTCCCTTGGGGCAGCCATGGCCATGCTGGCTGGAAAAACTATGGCCAAGACAGGCAAATTTCTGGAACCATTCCTGTTTAATCCGCCATTCTTTTCTGCCCCAATTGAGAGAATCAAAGATAAGAGAGTGAAACATGGACTTTGATTTGCAGGCAGTGTAATCACGCCTGGACTTGCTATTGCTTCTGCTACAAAGGGTATACATAACAATGAAAGGAACAATGGAAATAGATATGAAGAAAATTGGTTTTCTGTTATATCTGGGTGGATCCCATATGCTCTGACTACATTGGTTACTTCGAGCACAGGAAAAAGATGGAAGAGATGTTGCGAGGTTAGCAAGCCAGCACTCTTTGGGAGGTCCATTTCATGAGTATGATGGGAGTAAAAGGAGTGGAAACTGCAGAACCGCTGCATCTGCTCCCTTCAGCAAATCTGACAGTGAATCTAAATCCTTCAAAAGATTTCATGCGAGCTCATGGGCTATGCCAGTGGTGGAGGCCTGACCTGAACTTGAAGGGCGGTGTTTACAAATACGAATAGTTAATTTGGGGATTAAGGAAGCATGCATTTTCTTCCATGTATGTCCAACTACTGCTTTATATTCACAGACCAATTATCTAGTGAATAATTGTTATAGGATTTTAAAAAATAAATTAGAAAAAAAAAAGGGAGAAAAAACTAATATTTGTAATTCCTAATAGTTTCCTTGGGTTTGAGGCTTGTTTCAGCCTTGGTGTCCTGTCCTGTCTTTCGCCTTATAAATGTAGCATTTGCAAGCATTTTGTTACAACATTTACTATATGAAGTTTTTGTCAAGCCAATTTAGTTTAGTTTGGCAGGCAATGAGATGACAAGTTAAGAGCTTATTATTAAAACTGATCATAAGGTTAAGCCATGGCTTTATGGAAGATCTTCAATAATTAACTTAACAACGTGATTAACACAAACAAGATTCAGAAAAAGGCCAGAGTTCTTGTTTACCCTCGATGCCAAGACACTTTAGCAAAGAATATATGTGCTCTCAATTTGTGGACACGCATAAAATTGATTCTCAAGGATGATTATCGAGGATTCCTTTTGTATATTTGGTCAAGTTTGTCAATATTCTTTTCTTCAATTCTATTTGATCAGGTTTACATTTTGTTATCGATAACCTATTAAGACTCCGTTTGATTAATACTTTTGTTACTTATAAAAAGTACAAAAATAATATTATAACTGATTTAAAATAAAATAATTAAAATATAACATTGATTATAACATAGTTAGTTTATATTGAAGTACAATCATGCCTTTTTTTCATCTAAAGAAAATTACACATTTAGTACATATATAATCTTTCAAAATAATTTATTTTTACAACCAAGTGTATTTTTTTTTAATTTTTTTCTTTCAAATCACCACACGTAATTTAAATTATATTATTCTTAAAGGTAAGTGATCATGGATATATGAGAATTTTAGTTAAATGGAGTCAAACAAAGAATGGAGAAGATGCCATCTCCAAAATTATTGGTCCTCTACCAAAATTTTCAAACTAAGTTGCACCATAGCTTTTGACTAATTAGATACTTGATCATCTGTGGCAATCAAAGACCGAAATAAGCTCCAAAAATTAAAAGGAAAAAGATCAAACCAGCTCTCGACTTGAGGGCTCACATTTGTTCTTCCGTAACCTTGTCTAATGTTTTTAAAATACTACCTCAGACTGGTTAATTAAAGAAGTAAATAGACAACATTTGGGCCAGAGAGAGACACCATAAAAAAAAAAGGGTCAAAGAATAAAAGAATATTTGAAAATGACTTCTCTTCGGGTTCGCATGTGTTTTGAGTCTCCATCAAGTGGCCTACAACTAGTAATTCTCCAAGACAATGTAGGAGTTGCCTAGCCAATTTGATTGGCCGGGCCTTAGTTTTTTAATTTCCTCTCTTCTTCGTTTAACTGACATACGACCCTGCCTCCCTTGACGAGGCAATAATTCTCCTATTGGTTTTATAGAAAGCAAATTACCTGATTAATTTGGACCCTTCATATAGAGAAAGATAAATGATTCATCAATGACATCAAATTTTGGAGTAGTACTGTTGAAATCGGCTGTACCCGACAGGCCAAACCTATAATTTTGGCGTAAAGAAATTATGCCAAAAACTAAAAAGACTAGCTTTATGCAAGCATTTCACACGGCATTTCCACAACGTCATGCTCCAAACCCAAACCAGTAGGGGCCAGGTGAGGTGATTCTTCAAATTTGGCTTTCGTTTTTTTTAAATGAGAATCTTAAATGTATAGGATTATGGATATATGAGAACCTTAGTCAAATGAAATTAAATACAGAATAGAGAAGAAGCCATTTCCAATATTAGTGGTAATCTACCAAAATTTTCAAATTAAAAGAAAAAGATCAAACCAGCTCTTTACTTGAAGGCTCACGTGTTCTCCTATAGCCTTGTCTAATGTTTTAAAATACTACCTTGGACTGGTCAACTAGAGCAGTAAATAGACGACGCGGGCGTCCTATTTGGCTTTGTTGCGCTTGCCGTACTAGTTTCTAACCCAGCATGGGCATTTTGTTTTGGAAAAATGGCTCCAACTTCTGAAAGACACAGCGTCTGCCGTGCTTGGGCATTTCAAAACGGCGCGTGAGAAGCTCGAACAACCACAACTTCTGAAAGACACAGCTTCTACCGTCCTCAGCTATTTCAAAACGGCGGGCGTCCTTTGCTATGACAAGCTCGAACAGCCACAACTTCTGAAAAACACAGCGTCTGCCGTCGTTAGGTATTTTAAAACGGTGTCATTTGCTGTGAGACGCTCGAACAGCCACAACTTCTGAAACAGCGTCTGCCGTCGTTAGGTATTTCAAAATGGAAGCTCGAACAGCCAGTATAAGTAATTCCTTTGCTGCTCATTTCCAAGAACTTGATCATATTTTGGCTGACTTAAGCAAATTTGAGCAATTAATCTCTCAGATAAGTTCAAACAAGGATAAGTTTCGATTTCTCTTTACTTTGCTTAAAGAGTCACGTGTGGATTCACTATGTTTAGGTCTCTGCAAACTTATCTACTACGAGCCTTACACTTATCTGCAAGTTACATCGTGCTTCAATGAAATTTTCAATTCTCCTTGCTTTTTTTTCACCTCAGAAAGCACAATTAAAAAAATGAAAGATACCCTTTTAGTTTTCTTTGAAAGCCATGTGTCAGATCCTTTTCAAAACCATGTGTCAAATTCAAGTGCTATAATCTTCAAAACGGTTTCTGAGTTCTATACTACTGGCCAATGGCCAGAGTTATTGAATATTATGTTCCAGTATATGAAGCGTGTAGAGTGCCGTCAAGAGAATGTATTGATGCTTTTTAAAAACATAGCTGAGAAGGGAAATTCTGGAAGGATAATTTCTCATTTACCTACTTTCAGGTCCATCTTTTCTGAGCATATGGGTAGGCATATGAATTTAAATATTAACAGTGATACAAATTTGAGGATTACTGCAATGTCTGCTTCCATTAGTTTGATCGAATTTGTTTTAACTGAGGATACAGTTAAAGACTTTCAATGCTTATTACGATTGATGATGAAGATTTTAACTGATGGAGTGAATTTTGGATTAGACTCAATGGCTGAGGATTGTTTAGAATTGTTAATCAAATTAGCTAGGATAAACCCCAACTTTTTTGAGGGCCAGTTAGGAAAAGTTTTACAATTGATGTTGAAGATATCAATTGAAGATAGGGGTGATATCAGCCATTCAGCAATTGAATTTTTGATGTCATTGGCAGAGAAGGCTCCAGATATGATAAGAAAAGAGACCCAATTTGTAAAGAGGCTGTTTGAGGAGTTGATTTATTGGTTATCCCATATTAAGGATGATGATGGCAGACTTTGGGAGTACACAAATTCTTTGTTTGGAAAAGATTGTTTAAGGAGGTTGTGTATTTTGTTGGATGACTCGATTTTCCAATGGATTTTGCGCCTGTTGTCATATTTGTGGCGTAGTTCTAAATGGGAGGAGCGACATGCTTGTCTCATTGCTATTCCAATAATTAGCAAGGGCTATTTGAAGGTTTAATTTAATATGTTACGTTTAATTCTTATTTTGCTGGTTATTATTTAAAATAGTTTTTGTAGACATGCTTATTTATTTGCTTATATTTTGCTTTCATTTTATTGGTGCAGATGAAGCAAGAAAATTTTGAAGAGTTAGTCACAATGGTTTTGGAGTCATGTCATGATTCACATCCCCAAGTTAAATTTGCTGCTATTAACTCTATTAAAGAGTTGTTTGTGTGCTTGGATCTGTTTTTGGAATATCGATGTGAGGATATAGTTGTGTTGACATTACTTGATTTCCTGAATGACTTCCAAAATTATCAACTTCAGGTATGTCTGTCTGTTGGCATTTGATACTCACCTATCCGGGCATACCCCTCCCTGACAAAGAAGAAAAAGAAGAAAAAATTTGAAGTGTTTGGAATCTCTGTTTACGCACAATGTTTTGTAAATGTTCTTCATAACTAATCATGTCTTCTAGAAGCAATAGCTTGGTTTCGTATAGTCATTCATCTTTTTTATCTTATGTTTTCATTTAGTTGTAAACGATAATTTTGTAGTCATTTTTGTTCTTTGTCTGTGACATAGGCCCCTGCTGCTTCAGCAGTTCTCATCTTCATTGTAAATGGCAACCGAAAATTCCTAGATATATATAAATGTGGGCTTGTAAAATATATCTTATTTTCATTGACTTTGTTAGTATCCGATTTCTTTGTTTAGCTGTAAACTTTGTTTTTGTATTTTCATCCCTGTTTTCTTGTGTGTAATATAGGAGCGTGCAGCTTCGGTAGTCCTTAATTTCAGTGAAGATGGTACCCTTAACATCATAGCTCCATGGCTGGATAGGATCGTGACTGGAGTTTTTATACTTTTTCAGGTATGTAATCTTTCACTCCTTTTAAGTTTTAGGTACTCCTTCATACATAACTTGGAGATCACATCCCCAGCTGATTGTTTTCCTGTAAAAGACCTCATAACTCCTAGATATTTGAAAATAAAAATGGTGGTTGTTAAATGGTGGAAAGGTTCAGAGCGAGAGAACATCTAGAAGGTAGTAGGAACAGCACTTTTCTTCAATACATCAAAATAGAACATGTCATATGCGGCTTTTGTAGGATCTCCATGCCCTTTTGTCTCTAGGTCCATGAATAATCCTTGGTCAATTTATTAAGCCATGCATTTGTTTTCCTTAAATGATAAAGGAATTAGTTTAGAACACATGATATTATGTATAGAAATTTCTTTGTCTTGCCATGCATAAGCTCCGTTTTTCAATTTTATGTACTTTTTTCGCTTTGCAGAGTGAGTGGCAAATGGTGCAGGAGGGTGCTTTGATAACTTTGCTATCAGTTACTCATGCACTTTGGGTACTCAAGGGCTTCTAGGGTGTTCTCAGTTTTACTCTTTTAAGTTTTAGTGCTTTTATGTGACATGGGATGCTTTATAATAGGAGCACTGGCAGAGGCATTGCCCGGGGCCATACCCGAAGAAATTCTTGAATCGATTAGAGGGGCTTGTCCGGGCACATTATAATGATGTGATGCCTCAGTTGCAAGCTATCTTGGTGGATGCAATTAATCAATCTAAACACATGCTTCGTGCCAAAGCTATGGAGTTTATTCTTTTGAGTGGATTGGCTGTTAGGGAGGTTGGACAGGTAATGATTAATGATTTGATTCAGTTTTTGCAATCAAAATCTAGGTTGTCAATTATTATCTTTTATAGAGTATTATTTTTGAAGTAGTTAGGAATTTTAATGATCATATGAAAGGACACAAAAGCAGGCCGTGTGAAAACAACTAGCCAGAAATCACAGGGATAACAACAAACTTACAACCATACATGCGTTTAGAAGCTACAATGCTAAGGGTATAGCCTGATTCTAACTAAGGTGGCCAAAAGAAAAGTTCTATTTGCAGTAATCGGCATTATTCTTGTGAATAATTCTCACCTTTTGCAACTGACAAGTTTCTTGTTATTTGTACATTATCCAAGTACTATTTCTACATTTAGAAGACATGAGGAATTTTGACAAATAATATTTTTTAATATTAAAATTTGCTCTATGTTCTAATTGTTTCATGACCATCCAGAAGCATTAGGTTTGAGCACCCAAAGGAACCTTTAATGCTTAAACTCTCAAACTATGGGCTTGTTCACTTTTTTGAAGTGTTTTCTAATATAGATCTTAATTTTTTTATCAGAATGTGTTTCATGAAGTAATTTTAATAGCTTAATCTTTTGAGACTGGAAACCCTTGTTCTCCATTTCCTTTCTCAAAAATCCAAAATCATTTAAAAATATTTTGAGTCTTCCAGAAGACTGGAAACAGGGGCTTTGGAATCTAGATATATAACTTATAATATCTTGTTTCATTGAGTAAAATGTGGAGATGAAAATAGAAAACATTTTCTTACAATAAATGAGCTTTTACCTTTTTCATTGTTGAACGATAAACCATTGCCACTCTATGTTCCAATCATGGGCATTTGTTATCAAGTTGGGAATTTTCAAGTTACTCTTTCATGCTCTCTTGGAAGACCATTACAGCTAAAGTGGTCTACGTTATGCGAGGGAGCTTTTTAGACCCAATAAAAGGCATTTACTCCAGAAGGCGCAAATATTTGCATCTTGATTGAGTGTCCGTTCTGAGTACTTTTTGTTTAATAACAAGCCAAAACTTTTCTGCTTGGTGGTGAGGATTCTACTGTTTTCCCTCCGGTAAAACTTTCTTACTTGACCATTTTTCTTTTGTTCTTATGTGCTGCTTTTCAGTTGAAGTTTGAAATCACTCTTGTGAGATCTTGGTTTTTTGTTAAGCTCACTTCTTGTTCTTATGATCTGTTTGTGGGGTTGTTAATTGCCAGAAGCCTTAAGTCTTTTGTCCCTGCTCCCTTCCTTTGGGCTGCAGATCTTTTTGTAATTATCTCATTATCAATGAATTTTATTGAATTGCTGAGCCAAAAAAACAAGCCATATAAAGAGAATTTGGAGTAGATTTGACATAATTCTCTTCAAGGGAGTCTCCAACAGGGATTAGTTTATGGTATTTAGTTTGATCTTGGTGAGCAACTGATAACTTCTATGTTTCCCTGAGATTTAAATGGATTTCTTGTGGAGCTGTGGTCAATGGGTTTATTAATTTTTTTTTCCTTCATCTACCATGCAAATATATTCATTGCCAAACTGTTTCCTTTTCACTGCAAGATTACGGGAATCTTGATGTCATTGGAAGGATTTCAAATGGAGTTGGATGATTTACTATTGGGCCTCATGTTACAAGTATGTTCTAAAATTTAGAGACACCACATTGATAGGTGAATGATTTTGTGTTTGTGTGCCTTTTATGTGTGGACTTCTTATGTAGGGTGGACCTTATATTTTGTAGGTTTGGGTGAAACTTTTCAATCGCCTTCAGCAGGATTTTCTTCCTTACCTGAGTTCTTTCATTCCCTTTTTGCTTCAATTTGTTCAGCTTAAGCCTGATATAAGCACTACGTCTTCTGATGAAGAAAGGTCTGCTAATTGTTTTAGATGGTCTTAAATAGAAAATTAAGTGCATTTGTTTGGATTTTTTTATTATTATTGTGAACTCATTTCTCCTTCTTGGTTATTATATTTACACATAAGATTGTTATGCAAAAACTTCAAATGGATAAAGATTATTTATTTATTTATTTTCTTGTCATACATAAGTAACATAACTGAGCGGTTTGCCTTGTAACCTGTCAAAATAAGCACTTTCTAGGATATCAGTTGGAATATTATATTGTGTTAGTAAAATGCCTTTTTGGTCAACTTTGACTTATTTCAATAGTACCTCCAAAATGATGTTTCCTTTGAGCTTTAAAGGGTCTATGTTGTTTATTTTCTATTGAGACTATTACACTTGGTGATAAAAGGATATGGATCTGGGATTTGAAAGTTGGGGCTTGCGAAATGTTAGTTGATTTTGCTCACTGTTTCAATGAAGAATTCTTCCCATGGATCGATCAGGTTATTTTGATTTTTGAATTTTTTCTTTTTAGCTTTCTGTGAAAGCCTAGATTGTAGGTTACTAAACTGCTTGAAACAATGTAGGTTACTACTACTTTAGTTCCCCTTCTTAAATTTTATGTCCACAAAGGAGTTAGGGCAGCAGCTTTTGCAGGTATGACCTTTACTTTTTGCTCCCTTTCATTTGCATCTCTTCCTGTATTGCCTCACTTGCATTCTTGGTGGTTTCTGTCTATTTTGTTTAGCCATGCTGAGTCTGTTACGTTTAGCTGGCAAGAAGGGGCAATCTCAAGGTCATAATATTACATATTTAAAACAGTTAATTGATGACATAATGCCAGCTTTGCTGGAGGCTTTACACAAGGTCCTATTTTTGTCTGGGTCTTCATTTGTCCTGAATGTTATACATGATTACTTGTTTGTATTTAATCCATAGCATTTATGCTATGTTGATTTTTTTTTCTATTATAATTTGCTTGCAGGAGCTTCAGGTAGAAATTTGTGTGAGGATGCTGAATTCATTGAATGAATGCATACAGGTTAGTGTCATCCATCATCAGCTAGGAAGTTGCATGTCTCATGTATTTATGCACAACTCTTGTTGTATTTTAGGGAGCACATGCTTTTGTAATCCCCATGAATTTTGAATTAGTTCTGATTGTCTTTTTGTTTATTGACCTATAAACTGCAAGCAAACTTTGGTTGGGATTTGTAAAATGCCTGAGGTGGTGATATCATAATTAGGACATGGTTCATAAGCTCTGTATCTTCTATGAGTGGCCCTCTTTGTTAGCTTTTGCTTGCCTGTTAAATTTCCTTTGTGATATATGTTGACAGAATCTATGGTCAATCATCCTGCTGATTCTTTGAAGTCCTGAAAATTTTGCCATTCCTTCTAATGTTTGTTATGTGTTATTAATTCTACTGAATGGGCTAGTCTTTAGAGGAAGAAAATTAATGATGAAGTGATTCAGTAATTTGGAATTTAAATACTTATTGTCGTAGCAATTGAATATGACTGAGCGTGCTGAATTATTTAGCTTACTCTTGATGAGATTGTTTTGTTTTGAGCCTGGAAGGTGTTTTGTGGATTTGGTTGCTTCTTTTGTTAGGGTATATTGTCTTATACCTCTGCAAGTTGGTCCTTTTTTTTTTTTTTGGTTTCTGAAGGTGGGAACTCTTTCATTTCCTCTTGATCAATGAAAGCTGCTTGATAAAAAAAAATGTTGGTATTACTGATGGTTGTGAAGGAGTGAGATGAAACTTCAAAAAGAATAGAAAAAGGAAACAGAGAAATGAAAAGATGAAAACAGTTAATATCCCCCTGTTACATAAATAATTGTATAACCATCGTGTAAAATGTGAAGCGGTAATTCAAAATGTCATGACAGTTGTTATGGGTGATATTAGCAGTGACATTTTTCTAGGTTTTTGTGCCATCGAATTTGTTTTTTCTTTGAGGTGTTAGCAGATATTCTACCAGATACGTTTACCGACAAAAAATTAATAACTTGGCTTGATTTATATCTAATTTCCTTTTTCCATTTTTGGTTATTGTGGTGGTTTGCTTAATTCTGTGTATGATGTTGTACTGATCTTTTAACTTGAGATCTGTCATGGATCATCTATTCATGTTTTCTTTTCCTTTGAAGGTAGTTGAGCTTATGCTGATGCCCTCTTTCTCTATCTGTCAGATTGCTGGACCATTTCTTGATAAGGGCCGAGTAAGGTGCATCTTTGATGTGATTAAACAGGTGATCAGAGGTAGCTCAGCTGGTATACAGGAAAGCGCAGGAAGGGCTAACGCAGAAGGCTTTGATGCAGAAAAAGGAAAAAAAGTTGTGGGACATACTGACTTTGACGCAGAAAAAGAAAAAAAAGTTTTGGGACATACTGACTTTGATGCAGAAAAAGGAAAACAAGTTTTGGGTCCAGTATGTTTCTATTCCTAATGGACTTTTGGTTATCAGTTAGATGGATTATATTTTGGTCTCATCTTTGTTTGCCCTGTATTTCTTCTCTTTGTCAAGGTTGGTAACTTGTTGGGCACTTTGATCATAACATTCAAGGCATCCTTCTTGCCTTTCTTCCAGGAGCTTACATCTTATGTAATACCTATGTGGGTGAGTGCTTGGTCCTTGCTATATTTTCTGCTTATGTGTGTATGTGAATTGCTTGTGTATTAACTGAGTAAGCAGTCTCAATTGTTTCGGTCCTGTTCCCTCCCCTTATCTTCTGTATATCACAGCATAAACAGAGGTGATAGGCCTCTGACCTGGCTGATTAAATTTCTTGATTATACAGAGTAAAGATAAATCAGCAGAAGAAAAGTTATTTCCCATTCTTATATTTGATCATGTTGTAGAGCATTGTCATAAGGCAGCTCTTAAGTAAGTGGTTTCCAGCTTAATTATTGTCAGAATGCCAATTCTCAAAGTCCTTTGAGGTATTTATACTGAAGTTGGTGGGACTGGGACAGGTATTATGACACATATCTTCCTTTCTTATTGGAAGCTTGCAATGATGAAAATCCTGCTGTTCGTCAGGTTTGTGTTCTGATCATAAATAATTGCCTTGTGCTTTAGTCAATAGGATTGCATTGAAAATATATGTTCCTTGTTTTTTCAGGCAGCGATTAATGGGGTTGGTGTTTGTGCGGAGTTTGGAGGATCTGTATTCAAACCTTACATTCCAGGTTGCTTTACACTTGCATTGCTGCCTTTCTCACTTTAAATTATTGCCTTATTAGCTTCTATAAAATGGTAATTTATGTTTTCTTTTTCCTTCTTTATAGAGGCCTTCTCGAGGCTGGATGCTGTTATTAGACATCCTTCAGAAAATGATATTGCTTATGAGAAAGCTGTTTCAGCTCTTAGGACAATACGCAAATTTCATGGGGATAGTGTAGATGCAGATCAGGAATCATTTGTACAATCGCTTTGAAATATATCTTGCTCATGTTTGATGCCTTGATCCAACTTCCATCTGCTGAGTCTGCGAACAGCCGAAAGCTCCAACACTAGATTTGTAAACAGTGATTTTCAGCTTAGTGGTTTTTTTTTTTCTTTTGTTTATTTTATTTTATTTTCTTTCTTTTTATTTTTAGCTACCATTGAGCCCAAAAACCGACTAAGATCCAAGTCAAATAAAAAAAATAAAAAAAAAATAAAAAATACAACAAAAAAAATCGATATCATCTATAACATAACATAGCCTATAACTATCTATTAAAAAAGGTTCCAATGGGATGCCCAAGAATCGAAATCTGGCCCTTCGTTGGTTTAACATATGGCGTGTTGAAGCGGGGGGTTTGGTAATGTGTTTTGGGGTAGGGTTTGCTTGGGTAGGTTGCATGTCTGATGCTTTTAGACTTCTCCTTGGTTCGGCTTGCGAGGGAGGCATGCTTAATCATTTTTTTTTATGTATTTTCTTTCCTCTATTTCTAGACCCACATGAGGCTTTTGGTTTTTCAGGATGTGGAGCAAATGGATATGCGTGGCCTGAAATGGGTGTCGTGTTTGGGTTATTTGATGCTGTCTTCTCCATGTTCATCATTGACCTGCTATTGCTCTTGTTACTTGTTTTTTGGGTTTTCATAAGTTTTTACCGTTTTTATCAATCTTGCCTTTGGTTGTATTCCCTCTCCCTCGACTCGCTGTGCTTCTCTATATTTGGATTTGTATGCATTTTCTCTATTTAGCGCAATGGTTAGGGTTTTTTTGGGTGTAAAGAACTTCGAACTTTCAGGTTGTTCAGTTATCTTTTACATAATGTCTTATTTACTGTGCATTCCCTTTTATTGCCATGTTCCTCTCAATTTTATTTTTATTATCTTCTTTGCTATTATTTATAGGTTTTTTTTTATTATTTTTCTTTCCTTATTGTTATGTGGGGAAAATGGATTACACAAAGTTTCAAAGCCTTGACACGTATTGTAAAGTGTTTTCGGTTACTTTCCTTTTGGATTGCAACATTTTATTTTCTTCTGTGTTTTCTTAGTTTATTGATTTGCTTTTTAGAACTTAACCTTTATAGATATTACTTATGCAAGTTATTATAATTTTAATACCAAATTTCTCTTTAATAAACATACTTGTTTGCTTATGTCTGTGTTTCATGCGTTTCATTCTTGATTAATATGTTTTTCATGTCCAAAATTTTGGGTTAAATTCACTGTTTTATGGTGTATAAAATATGTCTTTGTCCATAAACATTGCTTATGTGATATTTATGATTAAAACTTTACTTAATCATTCATGAATATCAATTCATGAAAGTTGTAAAAATTAAGGAAATTAGTTTTGGGGATTTTTCATCTAGTAACAAAGTTTATTAGCTTTGAACTTTGGACTAATGAAATGAGTGGTAGAAAATGGAAAGAAAATAAGGAAAGGTTACCATTTAGCTTTTGGTGATATTATTTTAAAGCTTTTTTACGATACAATTATAAGATTGGACTATCTTCAACTTATACTATCTCCCTCTAATAGTTTTCTTTAAGGTTCAGACTTTTACATTAGTAATTATGTTAATGCATTGGTAAACATGAAGATGAAATTTCATTGCTACAATTCATTTTTATGTGAGCTTTCTACATTAATTAATGATGATTAGATATCTCTTATATATATATATAGTTTTATGTACATATGGGTGTGAATATTTTCTTTTTTTGCAAGAAAAAAAGGAGGAAAATTTAAAATATTCTTGGCACGATGTAACTATAATTTTATGTTTAAGTAGTTGTAAAGTTGATATTCTGAAAAATATTCTTCATTTTTACTGAAGTTTAATAAGTTTGTAATGGTTTAATTGAACCTATTAGCATTGATTGAGAGGATTACATGTTAAAAGAATATGTATTCTATCTCTATATCTACTTACGTCTACTCTATATCTATTATTGACTGATGCCCATTTTGTTTTGATAGCAGTGTTGCTTTTTCCCTTGAACATTGCCAGTTATAACACCACATTTGATCATTTGTTAATAGTTTCTTGCTCATTTTATGTATTCTGTTTTGTGCATGTTTTGTTAGTATTTGTTTTCCTACGGGTTTTTGATTAGTGGGGCTGGTCACTTTGACTAATTTCCATACTATCTTTAAACAATGCAATAATTATTTGACTAATTTTTTTACCTCTTGTAATTTTTTTAAAAGATTTGATTAAAGTTAAAAGCTTCTATCTTGATGTTAGTGTGATTTGGTCTTTATTTATTATTTTGTAGTGTGTTTGTTAATTTAGAATTTAGTGTAGGTACAGGCTAGTAGCGCATATTGTAATGTCTTTTTGCTTAATTTCCTTGACAATTACACTATTTTATTTTCTTCTTTGTTTTCTTGGTTTATTGATCTGTTTTTTTTAAGTTAGCGTTTATAGATATTACTTATATAAGTTATTATAATTTTGATGACGAATTTCTCTTTATTAACAACACATGCTTGCTTAGTGTTTTATCTATAGGTCTTTTTTGCACAATTGTTTTTTATTTTTTTGGGCAATTTAAGATTGATCTGAAGTCGTGGATAAACTCAATCAATCAAAACAAAATAAAGATAGTGGGTTGAAAACATTGAAAGTTAAAAAATTTTCTAAACTTAAAAATACTTTTAATTTTTATACTCTTATATATGAGAATAACACTCCATATCCTAGGTGAGGTAATCATTGTTCACCTCAACTGAATCAGATTAGTGTTCAACCAACCAAAAACTCTCAATTGCTTGCTCGTGTCCAACAATGTAATTGCACATTCAATGTTATTAATGTGCCTATTGGAAGGCATAAGATAGTTCTTTCAATTGTCAATGCTAAGGATGAATTGGAAACAACTTTGGTTGAACATATTACTATTGCATTTGGTCTTGGTTCACCAAATGTTGTTTGTGACATAAGAGAAATTAATTTTGCAAATTTCCCTACAACCAGTTCTAGTAATTATCCTGCACGAAATGCTGAGTTGATGATTGATAATTTTTGTTGGAATCATCAATTTACTAATTTTTCATTTTTCGAGATTGGATTGACGAATCCTTTCAATGACAATATTATTGGTAAACTTTTTCTCTCAAAAATTATAAATTATATGGTATCATTCATTAATTTAATTTTAAGAAAATGAAAAATTAAAATATAGTTAATGTTTGATTAAGATGTTTTGTACACAAATTTATAAAAGTCACATGTAAGATCTTGCTTATCAATCTAATAACTATGTGCTCGAAACTAATCCGCCATCTGAAAGAAGTAGCATGATGCAACTATGTAAGTTAAATTATATTAAAAAATTGATGCATTAAATTATTCTAATTTCTTTTGTGAATATCATCATTAACAAATGTTTATTTTTGTTCATGATACGTATAATAGGAAATTGCTCCATCGCTTTTTGTTTTAGAGGACTTAATTATATATATCCATTTTACTTGGCTTATATGTGGTATGAAAAAAGGTATGATATATTAAAAGAAAATAGGAATCCAACTTTTAATCTTTGTTGTCAAGAAGGTATAGTAAGGGTTTTACAGTGATAGTAGATAATGCTAGTTCGAATGATCTTGCAATTGCATACTTGAAAGAAATGAATATATTAGGGAATGATATTCTTGGATGCAAATATCTTCATTTGAGATGTATTTTTCGCATTGTTAATCTTGTGGCGAGTGATGGATTGAAAAAAATGAATGAATTTGTTGCTTGTGTTAGAGGTGCTATGAGATATGTGAGGCAATCTCCTACTAGGTTAACGAAATTTAAAGAATGTGTTAGATCTGCTACGATTCAATAGAAAAGTATGTTATGTATGGATGTTAGCGTTAGGTGGAACTCCATTTATTTGATGTTGGATGCAGCTCAAAAGTTTAAACAAGCATTTGATCCATTTGAAGATGTTGATCCATACTATAGAGGTAAGTTATTGATGGGGGAATGGGGTGCCTGATCTCACGGATTGGACAAATGTGAAGAGGTTTTGTCTTTTCTTGAAACAATTTTACGAGCTCACTGTAAAAGTTTCAAGTACTTCTTACATCATCGCTAATAATTTTTTTAATGATATTTGTATCATTTATTGCACTTTGCGTGATTGGAAAAGAACTCCTAATGTTGATATGAAGTTAATGGCCAAGAGAATAAAGGAAAAATTTGATAAGTATTGGAGAATATTAAAAAAGTGAATTCATTACTTTACATTACTTCTATTCTTGATCTTAGGAGAAACTTGATTTTGTAGAATGGTGTTTGATGAAAATGTATTCTCTTGATCAAGCTTCTACAATGACTAAGAATTTGAGAAAAGCAATGGAAGAGTTGTTTGATGAGTATAGAAGGATGTGGTGTCCTTAATATGTGAATGTTGGTTAAAGTAGTCAAGTTGAAGGGCGTCCACGTACAACAGATGATAGTGAAAATTCATTATATACAATAACTAATTTGTCTGAGTACAAGACGTATAGAATTCAAAGTAGCAGAGATGATCTGAAAACAGAGTTGGATAAATATTTAAGTAAGCATGATGCTGTCGATTTTGATGGCTTTGATGTTATGATGTGGTGGAAACTCCATAGTCAGAGGTTTCTATCCTTGTTAAAATAACTCATGATGTGTTGGAGATTCCAACATCCACAGTTGTGTCTGAATATGCTTTTAGCACTAGTGGTGAGATGCTTGATGTACATAAGGGTTCTTTAGCTCTTAAGCTTGCACAAGCCCTTATTTGTACTCAAGATTGGTTACGTGGATCTTCATCTTTCAATTTCAATGAGATTGAGTCTAATATGGTAGACATTAAAAAAGTTGAATTAGGTAATTAATTTTTTTTACATTTTATTAATTTTGCAATTCTTATTTCTTTATTTCTTTTAATTCTTTTTGTTTCTGCATTTTAAAGATGTTAGAGATTGGGATTGTAGATTCCATTTCTATTGTTGATGATTGATGAGTAAAGAGATAAGAAATGCATTCTTCACATTTCAATTGACGTAAATGTTAAATTTTATGACTTTTTACATAATTTTTTCATTTTTAATCTTTTTTTACTTTGTTATTAAAAAACTTTAAAACTAAGAATAAGTTTTATATCCTTTCAATTGTTAGATAGCCCATGTGAGTGAATGTGAAGAGCCAAGCCATGGAGTAGATTCAAGTTGATAATTTGCGATGGTCAATGGTCTTGTGTTAAATAGTTTTATTTTGTGGATGTTAATTTTAATATGTTATTATCTTTGACTCTTTGTTATGTTGAATCTTGAATGTTAATTTAATGTTTTATGTAAAAAGACATAATTATATAAGTGAAGGAACAAATGTTATGTTTATTTTTATGTTTAGATTATTTGTATATTTTATAATTATAGATGAAGTTTATAAGTTTTAATATTGTAATTTATGAAAAAAAAAAAGATAAAATTTTGGTCAATTGATCTAAAACCAAACCGATCAAACCAATTCAATGTTTGGTTAGTTTGGTCCTCTTTTATGTTTAATAGATTTTGATTAGTTTTCTAAAAATATTTGATCCATTTGATTTTTAAGTATGACAGATCGAAACATCCAATTGCTCATCCCTAGTGTTAACAACATAGAAGTTGTTCTATATGAAAATAAAGCTGAAAGAATCAATCAAGATCAACCTTTTAATGATGTGATTAGTCTGATTGTCATCGTGGTTGCAACAATGGTGAAAAAAATACATAAATATATTATATACACCAACACTTAAATTGATTCATCTTAGTTAAGATTTTCTTAATTTAAAATTGTTTATGTAGATACCTTTTACCGTACTTCCTGCTTAACCACCAAAATATATATGGATCCTGACATACTAAAAACTATGTTGCACAAAAAAAGTGAGATTCATATCTAAAATCATTCATATTATATTACAAATAGACCATTATGTAAAAACAAATCAGCATATAGGTATGAAAAGAGCCATTCAGTGTCTAGATTATTGATATGCATATGTTGTCCCGCAAGTTAGCAATAAAAGGCAATGAAATCAAAGACTCAACCATAGTAGATATCAATATTGTTGACTCAACCAAAATGCAGCTGGAAAAAAAAAATAGCTCACAATATTAGAAACTTAACTGTCTAACACAAATACACTAACAACTCAAACACGTTGTAGGAAACTAAATACAAAATCAAAACAATAATTATTGATATTGATTGCTTTAATGTATGGCACTATAATTCCTGCTTTTCATGGTCTTTTTATTGTCATTTATTGTAGTGATATATTATTATAAAAAATTATTTTACATTAATATGTTTAAGAATTGATCTCAACCATAAAAGAAGATAGTTATTTCAAAATCTGTTGCATGATTCTGTAGTACCCTTCCAATCATAATATTATCTTCTATGTGATCATAAGCAAAGTATAAACAAAATTAACAAATTTTAACATGATATGTATTACTGATCGATGAATTCTTCCTTTACTCTTCGATCTCATGCATCAATTACTCAAATGTTTTACTTCTTATATCAAATACTTATTTCCAGGTATTTAACAGAAAATCATGCATTATATGTTTTTGATTTTAGATACTACATACAACTTAGTCACGTCTGCCATGTTGTCACGGTTTCATTGTTCTGATTTTTGAAAAGTGAGCACCCAGAATGTATGGGTAGCAGTAGGCGTGGTCATTATGATGGCTTAGGGTACTCCAATCCTAATCGAATACAACAAGCCTGTTTTTCATTAAAAAAAAAAATTTAGGAGTTTAAAACCTTCGGACCTAAATGATTTTTTATTTTTTCAGATATTTTATAAGTAGATATGTTTACTTGTAACTGAATTTTTTTATATTCTGTACTAATGCTAGTTTAATTGCTAGCTTAAAATTTTTGCATTCCTTTCGAAATAAAAAAAAGTTTTTTTTTTAATGAAAATTTAGTTGGTAAGTAATTTTATATGGGAAGTTTAGTTATTTCTTATGCCCTTACCTATGCATCTTAGGATTTCAACTAATTAACCTAGTCATCCTAGAAATTACTATTTGGGATTAACAATTATTTAAGTACCTTTAAGTTGTTTTGTTTTCCCCCACTGAGCAACCTGCTTTTGTACCTTACCCGCATGAAAGAGATATGACTAGCCATGGTAGACAAAGGCTGCAAAAGAAGGATCATGTGCCTGACGAACTCATTATGTCGATATTTGTCAACCTCCCCGTCAAGTCCTTACTAAGATTCAAGTGCATCTCCAAGCTTTGGCGTTCATCGGTCATAGACAATGATTTCATCGAACAACATCTTTTGAATCAACAGAAAAAGGATCCTCGAATTCTTTTTGCCTCTACCATTCTCCGACAGATAGCTGTAGAATCAATGTTCATAAATGTCGATGGAGCTGAGGGAATTGGTGAAGCTGTGACTGATGTTTTGACTATAACATTTACAAACCAATGTGAAGACTATTTTTGCACGTTACATTCATGCGATGGGGTTGTTTGCTTTTATGGAACAAAAACCATCCTTGTTTGCAACCCTAGCACGAGGGAGTTTCAACGTTTTTTCTTTGGCTCTGATTACTTCGGTATGAATTTGACTTTCCTATACTCTGCATTACTATCAATATCAAACGAATTAAAGCTTAAAATTTGGTTAGGGTATAGGGATCAAGTTGTAATGGAGATTATTCTGCCAAAGGAAATATTAGAAAGAATTTGTTATGGTACAAGCATTAATTGTGCTCTATTGTTTTTATTCCTTGCAGTTGGCCAACCAATGCGTTTTGATCCAACAGTAGGGTTCGGACGGGATCAAGTCACAAAAGAATTCAAATTGGTTCGATTTTTCAATCCGTCAGGGACTTCTGACGATTTTCGTATGTGTGAGGTTTTTACATTGGGTCCAGACCCTGAGGTTTCATGGAGAAGGCTTGGTGAAGCACCTTACAGTGTCCGGGGATTACCAGGACAACGACCTGTCTATGTTAATGGGGCACTCCACTGGATCACTAGTTTTAATAGACACCGTTGGGAGGCAGTCGTCTCCTTCGATCTCCATACAGAGAAATTCCTAGCAATCCCACATCCGAGTTGCTTAGATAGTCACTCTGACAGACACTATGCGGCCTTAATACCTTTGAGAAACTCTCTTTGCCTGGCTGTGTTAGCTGATGATGATGAGAGGATGAACATATGGATTTTCATGAAAGATTGCCAGTCATCAGCAGCTTTGAATGAGAAGAAGGGAGCTTGGGAGATGTTGCATTCTATTGATGTGAACATGGGATTTTCAATTGTGGAGCATAGAATCCCAATTGTGGAGCATAAGAACGGAATTCTTTCTATCAAATTTTTTGGACTCAGTTTGCAACTATACAATCCAAAGAGTAAAATGCTCAGGGATGTTCATGCGCTGGAGCATTGGAGAACATTTGTGCCTACTGCATATTTTGAAAGTTTAGTCCCTCTATGTGCAAAAGACACGCGGGTTAATTAGTACTTGATAAGTGAGTATCGAAAGTGGGTAGAGATCTTAAATTACAATACTTTATGCCAATAATTTCATTAGAGAAAGTTTGCTTTCATTTATTCCAGCAGTGAAGCTCAATCAATTACAGAAAACCCATCCCCCCCTCCCACTTTTTGTGAAATGTGTACTGTCAATTACATTGATTTTTCTCATGAGAGTTTCGACGTAATTTGGGCCCCCTTTGGTGCAAAGTCCACTTCCAATTTTCAGCTCTTGATATTATCCCCCAAAAAAAAAAAAAAATTAAAATGCCCTCTTCAATATTTGAAATCATAAACTGAAAATTTGAAAATAGTGGATATTTTAATGATTAAGTAAAAAAGGTTGAAGATCTCTAAAAAAAATTGTAATTTACGAGAATGGGATATATATATATATATATATATATATATATATATATATATATATATAAATTTTGCATTGAACTGATGGACTCTAGGTATAAATTATTGTTGGGATTAAAAATTTAAATATAAATAAATAATCAGAAAATTAAATAGATAAAGGATTTATTTTGTTTTTTTTATGATATGTTTACTTCACTCAAAAAGTTAAATGAAATTTAACATTGATGGATCTTCAATAAATAAACAGAGTAATGCTAACACACGAATTGTATTTTGTGACAAAAATGTTAAAAATAATGTTTTCAATTGACAATTAAAAATTAATAAGGCGTTTATTAATTTTACCTGTCTCAAAGTGGTCTAATTCATGGACCAATGCGGTTAGGTAGGTTGTCTATGGAAGTTGGATTCTCAAACGTTGCAAATTACGTTTTTTTGTTTTCAAATTTAGAGGTGACAAATCCAACATACACTAATAATTTGACAAACCAACAAACGAAAGACAGATCCGAAAATGGGATTGTTGGAAATTCTGATTAATTGGCGTAAACGGGATTTATATATAGTTCTGGAAATCAATTTTGTTGTCAAACGAACTGAATTTTTTATTATTCTTTATTAATACCACTTAAATATTTGTTAGCTTATAATTTTTGTATTCTTTTTGAAATCTTAATAAAATCTCTTCAACTTAGCAAGTAAAGTTATTTTTTATGAAAAAGTAGTTGATAAATAATTTTCCTATGCATTCTAGGGCTTCAACTAATTAACCTACTCAATGTAGAAATTACTATTTGGGATTAGCAATTATTTAAGTGGTATGTTTGTGATTAAATTCTTCAAGTTTGAAAGTTGGTTGTTTTCCCTCAACTGAAGTACCCAAAGAATTAAGAGATATGGCCAGCCATGGTAGACGAAAACGAGATAAGGAGTTTCGGCTGCCTGAAGAACTCATCATGTTGATATTTGTCAATCCTCCTATCAAGTCCTTACTAAGATTCAAGTGTGTCTCCAAGCTTTGGCGCTCATTGATCATCGACCAAGATTTCATCAAACATCATCTTTTTGCCTCTATCATCAGTCAAAATCAGATGGATTTAAAATCAATGTTCATAAATGTTGACAGAGCTGATGAGGGAATTGGTGAAGTTGTTACCGATGGTTTGACCATTACACTTACAAACCTCCCTAGATACTTTTTAAGCATGTCGCATTCATGCGATGGGGTTCTTTGCTTTTATGCACCACAAACTATCCTTGTTTGCAACCCCAGCACGAGGGAGATTCAACATTTTTCCTATGGCTTTGGTTGGAAAGGTATGAATTTGATTTTCCTATAGTCTGCATTGCTACCAATATCAAGCGAATTAAAGTTTAGAATTTGGTTAGGTATAGGGCTCAAGTTGTAATGGAGATTGTTCTGTGAAGGGGATTATTAGAAAGAATTTGTTATGTTACAAGCATTAATTGTTCTCTGCTATATCTATTCTTTGCAGGTGTACCATCCGGTTTGACTTAGGGTTTGGTCAGGATCAAGTCACTAAGCAGTTCAAAATTGTACGATTGTTTAAACCGGAAAGGGCTCATGGTAATTTTAGTGAGTGTGAGGTTTTCACATTGGGTCCAGATCCTAACGTTTCATGTAGAAGGCTTGGTGAAGCACCTTACTTTGTAACATTACCACAATCATATATCTATGTTAATCGGGCACTCCATTGGATCACTAATGTTTGGAGACACCCTTCGGAGGTAATTGTCAAATTCCGAGCAATCCCACATTCGAGTTGCCTGGATAGTCACCATGACAGATTCAATATGGTGGCCTTAATGCCTTTGAGAAACTCTCTTTGCTTGACTGAGTTAGCTGCTAGCGAGAAGATGAACATATGGATCTTCATGAAGGATTGCAACTCATCACCAGCTTTGAATGAAGACATGGGAGCTTGAGAGATGTTGCATTCTATTGATTTGAAGTGTTCGGTAAGTGAATGGCGATTGGAATTCCAATTGCGGAGCATAAGAATGGAATGCTTTCTACCATTTATCATGAAGGCAGGTTGCAACTATACAATCCAAAGAGCAAAATGTTCAGGGTTGTGCTAGCGCATTAGAGAGCATTTATGCCTACTGCACACTTTGAAAGTTTAGTCCCTCTGCATGCAGAAAAACACGCGAGTTAATTAGTGTTTGATATGTAAGTATCTGAAGTGGGTAAAGATCTTAAATTACATTACTTTATGCTAATAACTTCATTGAAGGAAGTATTGCTTTTATTTTATTTCAGCAGTGAAACTCAATCAATTATAGTAAACCCTTTTTCTTTTTTGTGTGTAAAGTGTTATGTCAATTACATTTTATTGCATTATTCTTTCACCTAATAACCAGGGAAAAAAAATGAAGAAAACCCAAACATTATTTGTTTAGCTAATTCATTAAAAGTAGGAGAATAATGCAGCATTATTCAAGCATCAATACAATTGCTCAACTTATAAATGATCTATGTTCAATTAAATCAGGTTACACTTAACTAGGCTTCTGCCCAAGAATAGAAAGAACCTAACAACCTTGGGAACTTTGCTTTGGTTGTTTGCATTTACACACAGTTTTTTCGTTAATGCTGATGAAATATTTTCCAGAGAAGTTAACTACTATACTGACTGTCTTGTGAAGATGGATGTGAATAGAAATCAAATGTTTGTGCAAGAAAGTGTTTCTGTGAGTTAATTGATGAGGAGTCTAGAATGAAGTTAACCAATGTCTTTGTTTACAATCCTGGAACTAGAGAGTTTCAGATTCTTTAGAAGGGAAAGAAGAGATCCTCCCGTGGTCCTTCCTACTCTTCTGATTGCTTTGGTACGCATTTTTTTCCTCTTGTTTTATGTTTATATAGATAGAATTAAAGCAAGGGTGTTCACTAGAATTAAAGCCAGGTCCTTTCTTTCATGATGATGGTGTCTATTTTTGTGTGTGTATAGTTTTCGAATTCATCGTTAGGGCGGAATTCTTCGGGATCTAAATGCGTAGTGTTTTATTTGTGAAAGGCAGCATGGTTGCTGTGTACATGGCCATGACATTCGGAGTGTATAGGAAATGTCTGTTTTTGTTTTGGGTGTTTTGTTTATGTGGGATGATGTACTTTTAGGGGAAATGCTGTCCAATTTTTTGTAAGTTGGGGAGTATGCATACTTAATCCAATGCATAAAGCTGGAAATTATGTCCCTTGTATTGGCCATGGCCTTAACATTCATTGGTGCCCACCACCAGAGGGGACTTTAAAATTTAATGTTGACGGTTTTGCCAGAGGAAAATTGGGGCCGATAGGATGTGGAGGGGCTTTTCGAGAGTCAGGGAATTTCTTGTTGGAGTGTTCTTTGGCCCTCTTGGAGTTCAGGATTCTAATTTTTCCGAAATCATGGCAATCAAGCATGCTCTCCACCTCTTTTCTTTATCCCTTTTTGCAACCACAAACAAGCTTTTCATGGAGTCCGATTCTAAAATTGTCCTCTCCTGGATTCTCCATCCCTGCAAGAGACCTTGGGATAAATGGATGCTTTTTAAGGATATTGATTCTCTTATTTTGCAGTTCAAGGAAGTCTCTTTCCAACACACTCTTAGAAAAGGAAACTCCTTGGCTGATTCTCTTGCGAAATATGGAGTTGATAAAGAGTCTATGTTCTCTGCCTGATGGTAGTTTGCCTCTGTTTCTTCTGTTGCTTTTATGGCTTGCCCTTCTTCTCACGTGAAGATGGTTTGGATTTTTTGTTTTTTCCTACTTCCTCACTTAATGTCATAGAGGTTCTAGGCTGAACTGTGTTTTGTGTTCATGATTATTGTTCTGATTTTTAACATCATTGGTTATATGAACTGATTGTTTGGAGCTGTTATCCTTGAATTTGTGTCTTTAGGTCTGATAGTCAAGGTTTGTACTGCAAGTTAGCATTTTGTACATGATGTCATGGTGTCTTATGTTCTGTACAAACGAACAAACTCTGGTCCTTCTTTGTCCTTTTGTTCTTTCTGGATTCTTCTAAGTTCTCCTTTTTGGGATGATTAATTGAATATTTCCTCTAATTGAGCAAAAAAAAGATTTAATGAATTCCACTTCCCTATCAAAAATAAAAAAAATAGTGTAAGCTAATTTGGCTTTGATAGTCCAATGAGAACATGCTTGTATATTGTTTGTTGTATAGAGGATAATCTTTGCCTTGAATTTTGAGAGACAAAGGATTCTGTATACTTCTGTTAATGGTCCTGAACGAAGTGATTACATAGCAGGGGATGGGCAGGGTGAAGGGCTACTTGGCCTGGTTCGAGCTTTCTGAAGTGCTCTCTGTTTCTTTTTGGTATCTTCTTTGCAGGAAACAATAATAGAGCTTATTATGATATCTTCTCTGCAGGACAACTATTCCCAACGCATCAATTAGTAGGGTTTGGTCGTGATCAAGTTACAAAAGAATGCACAATTATAGGATTGTTTATACCTAAAGAGGAGTAAGAAAACCATATTCATGAGTGCCACGTTTTTACATTGAGTTCAGATGCTGGGGCTTCATGGACGGGCCTTGGCGTAGTTGCCTACTTCATTAGGCCAGCACAACCAGCACTTCACTGGATCCTTGACGTCAGACATGCTAACCCTTCCCAGGTGATCGTCTCCTTCGATCTCCATACTGAAAATTCCAAGCAATATCACACCCAAGCAGTTGCTCCGAAGCCTCAGATCGTCGTATGCGGCATTTTATGGGGTTACTGTCTTTGAGAAGCTCTCTATGTCTAGTACAATCAGAATACAGGCTGCAACTGAATATATGGATAATGAATCAAAGCAATGGAGTTCGGGAGAAACTGTTTGCTATTATTTTGGGATTGATGAATTATAGAACTCCACTGGCATTTCCAATAGCAGAACTCAAGGATGGAACCTTTTTTGTTTCCCATTTTGGGGAGAACTTGTAAATATATGATCCAGAGAGCCAAAGTTTTAGTGAAGTATGGATACAACATGAAAGAAGGGTTGTGTCCTATGCATACTCTGAAAGTTTAGTCCCTCTTTATGGAGAGTCACTGGTGAATTGATCGAGTTGTAAATAATATGCATTATTTTTTTTATGTGAAAAGCTGGAATTTGATTCATTGCTTCAATGAAGTCAGCAAAAACTACCATTTTTGTGTTAATGGTAGTGCTATACAACAACCCAGTAGGCATACCTGCCAATTCCAAGTAGAATGTCAGGACTCCTCCCCCATTGATCACAAAAGCCTGTTGACAATGTTGTTACATTAAAACAAGAGCCAACCACAGCAGCCAGTAATTACCCAATGTCAGCCAAAGCCCCACCTGCAGCCCTTTGCTGTAGCAGACTCATGGTTAGACACCAACGTCCCCTGGCTCTCGTGGTGGGAGTATTACCACTGGACCAGAACCCGTCCCCAATAAAACATTGCAAAACTTAAAAGTTTAAAATCTGATTATTGTAATCATTAAAAAAGATTTTAGTTACTACTGATAAACAGAACCCAAAAAGGAAGTCCAAAATTGTTCAAGACTTGGATGAGAACATATGGATTTTCATGAAAGATTGCAACTCATCACCAGCCTTGAATGAGAACAAGGGAGCTTGGGAGATGTTGCATTCAATTGGTTTGATAATTATTGTGAAGCCTCCCTAGAACAGAATGCTCTGTCCAATATTATGAACAGAGGTTGCAACTATACAATCTAAAATGAAAAATGTTGAGTGATGTGACACCGCATTGGAGAAAAGTTGTGTCTACTGCATACCTTGTAAGTTTAGTCCCTCTATATCATGTGTTTGATATTTGAGTTGGGTGTTTTCTTATGGTTGGGTTAGTAACCAATGAGTACAATAATTGAGTTAAGAGTTAGATTATAAAAATCACAGCAAAAAAAAGGCCTTGCTCACACACTTTCTTCCTTGGAAATTGGAAGAAGTTCTGCTTAAGGATCATATTCCAAGGAACAAAGGAGCGGCTCATAGCTTCATTAGAGATTCTTTTGGTTATAAAGAAAAAAAATGCAGCAAGCAACTTCTGTTCAATTTTCCTTCAAAACATAAAAAAAAATTCCTCTCAATCTCTCCTTTTTTTTTTATAATATTTTCTCAAATTCCTTTATATCCTTTTGTTAGGAACAAAATTCTAAAAAATTAGTAATCTTGTCATATAAAGGTTAGTATTTAATGAATTGGGTTCGTAGTACGAAACACAACTGGTGATTGAGTTTTTTTAGAAGTGGGTAACTGGTCAGTTTGGTTCAGTATATCTAAAAATCAAATGAATTAAATATTTTTAAAAATCGATCAAAATTGACTAAATTTATAGAAAGACCAAATCGATTAAATATCGAATTAGTTTGGTCAGTTCTGTTTTAAATAAAAAAAGTTAAAATTTTATCATTTTTGTTTTTTACAAATTACAACATTGAAATTTATAAATTTCATTCATAATTATTAAATATACAAATAATCTAAACATTAAAGAAAAAACATAACATTTGTCCTTTTACTCACATAATCATATCATTTCACATAAAACATTAAATTAACATTCAAGGGTTTTAATCTCTAAATTCTACTATTCAAGATTTTAATATAAAATAATACTTATACCAAAATAACACTATTAGTCAATTTTTAAAAATAATGTTTGACCTCTCAAGTCACTTTAAAAGAATTGAGAGATATACGAGCAAATATTTATTTTATTTTTCAGAGAAGATTTGTGTCTTTACGATAATGATTTGATATATAATAAGTGATGTAGTATTAGCTTTTTTAACAATTAAAAGAAAAAAATTTTTAAAACAAAAAGGTCAAAGTGCCTTGCAATCAAACATGACTCAAGGTTTTTCAGATTTACCCTAACAGTAGAAGTATTAAAAAAAAAAGTAGCCTTATTTATGCAAAAATTACATGGCAATCATTTATAGAGAATTTGAGAGACAACATAGACAGAGAGGAATGTTAGATAGTTTGTTAATGATGGTATTTTAACTTTTGAATTAAAATATTAATAAATAATTAATTTTTAAATTAAATAATAAATATTAATAATTTATAAAAAATTGTGATCGAAGAGTTATACATAATTACTAACTTTTTAAATAGTTATATTATGAAACGAAACAACTACCATCTAATCATGAATGATCAATAGATTAGTTTATTATATAAACAATGTTATTATATTACAATTTTCAGTATTTTTGATAAATGTGTTAAAAGACCTTGTTATATCCAAAGATTAAAAAATACCTTAAAGAATACATGCCTCTTCTGATTCAAATGCTTGTCGAAGCATTGGCGAGCACTGATCGTCAACCCTCATTTCATGGAACAACACCTCGAAAAGCAGCAGTAAAAGCATTACCCTCAATTGATATTTGCCTCTAGAGCATCTAAACCCGACATGGACATGGTTTTGGAATCCATGGCCATCGTCGATGTTGAAGTTCGTGATGGAGAAGGAACAAAGACCAGGAAAGGTTTGAAACGAAGTTCTTCGAATATCAGTCGTCTTTTGTCGGCTAATTACTTCGTGTCCAATTCTTGTGATGAAATTATTTGCTTATTCGGGATCACTAATGTCTTTGTTTACAATCCTGGAACTAGAGATTTTCGGATTGTTAAGATGCAAAAGAAGGAATTCTCCCCTGATTATTCCAGCGTTGATATGTTTGGTACGCATTTTTGTTCCCTTTTTTATGTTTAGATAGATAGAATTAAAGAAATGACCAAGTGTCCACTAGACTCTGCCTTTGAATAGAGAATTCAATGTGAATTGTTTTAGATAGCTGGAAGAGATAAATTAGAAGGATTGCATGATGATTCTTTCAATTCTCCTTAAACCACAGGGCCCAGGCATTCGAATTGCAAATGTCAACTAAATTAGCTTTGACAATCCCATGAGAGCATGCTTGTATATTGTTTGTTCTATAGAGGATAATGTTTGCCTTGAATTTCAGAAACAAAGGATTGTGTATAGTTCTGTTAATATTCCTTAATGAAGTATTTGCAGAGCAGGGGATGGGCAGAGTTAAGGACCAGATGGCCTGGTTAGAGCTTTTGAAGTGCTTTCTGTTTCTCTTTGGTATCTTCTTTGCAGGAAACTAATAAAAGGGCTTATTATGATATCTTTTTTGCAGTGCGAGTTTTCCCATTGTATCAATCAGTAGAGTTTGGTCGTGATCAAGTCGTTTACACCTAAAGAAGAAAACCATATTCATGAGTGCGAGGTTTTTACACTGAGTTCAGATGCTGGGCCTTCATGGAGGGGCCTTGGCGAAGTTGCTTACTTCATTAGGGCAGCACAACTCCCTGTCTATCTCAATGGATCACTTCACTGGATCCTTGACGAAAGGCATGCTAACCATTCTGAGGTGATCGTCTTCTTTGATCTCCGTACTAAGAAATTCCAAGCAATATCACACACAAGCTGTTTCTCAGAAGTCTCAGATCGTAGTAGGCTTCATCATATGGAGTTACTGTCTTTGAGAGGCTCTCTATGTCTAGTAGAAGGAAAATGCGACTGGTCATCTCGGCAGCTGAATATTTGGATAATGAATCAAAGCAATGGAATTTGGGAGAAGCTGTTTTCTATTAATCGGGGATTGACGAATTACAGATTTCCATTGGCGTTTGCAATAGCAGAACTCAAGGATGGAACCTTTTTAGTTTTACATCACAAGAAAATCTTGGAATTATTTGACCCAGAGAGCCAGAGAGATAGTGAAGTGTTGATTACTATGCATACTCCGAATGTTTAGTCCCTCTTTATGGAAAGCCACTGGTGAATTGAGTTTTCATGGTAACTGTTGAATTGAGACTTGCATTGAAGATCCTGCAGGCCTTGTCATCTGTCAAATGCCGATGCCTCACTGTATTTGCTTTAAAACTTTGTTTTTAAAGCTTTCCATTGCACACAATACTTTAGTCAATAAATATCAGACTCGGTTGCCCTAGTTTTCCGTTTTCTGCTCTTCGTTTCTGTTTTGTTTCCTCTTCATTTATGGCTACATGCCTTACAGATATTAAGCTGTTGTAGTAGTGCAAAGCACAGTTAATGATTGAGTTTTTTTTTTTTAATCTTGAAAATTTGTTGTTTTTTTTGTAAATAAAAATCTTAAAATAGTGATATTAATATTTACGTCGAAGTAATTTAATAATTTTTTATCTTTTCACTATTATGTTTTAATAGTTGTACGTATACATTTATTACTATCTGACATTTTTCTATTCTTAACACAACCTCGAAGCTCAAGCTTGGGTTATTGATACCGCAATAATACTATTAGCCAATGGTTAAAATAATGTTTGGCCCCTCAAATCACTTTAAAAGATTGAGAGATATATGAGCAGATATTTAATTTTTTTTTTATTTTTTAAAGAAAATATTGTGTCTTAAGATGTCTATTTGATATATAATAAGTGATGGATTGATTTTTTTTAATAATTAACTAATAAAGATAATACTTAAAAGAAAAATATATAATTAAAAAAAAGACAGAGTGCCTTTTAACATGATTCAAGGTTTTTTAGATTTACCCTAATAATAGAAGCATTAAAAGAAGCGTAGTCTGATTTATGCCACAGTTTCATGGCAGCCTCTCAGAGAGAATTTGAGAGACGACATAGAAACAGAGAAGTAATGGCAGGCGGCGGCGGAACAAACCTGGAAAACAACTATTGGCCTGAAGATCTTCTCCTTTCGATCTTGGCTACCCTTCCAACCAAGTCTTTGTTACGATTCAAATGTGTGTCCATGCATTGGCGATCACTGATCATCAACCCTTATTTCATCGAACAACATCTCGAAACGCAGCAGAAAAAGGATTACCCTCACTTGATATTTGCCGCTAGAGCATCTGGAACCGTTCTGGACATGATTTTCGAATCCATGCACATGGTTTTGGAATCCATGGCCATCGTCGATGTTGAAGTCGGTGATGAAGAAGGAACAAAGATCAGGAAAGGTTTGAAACAAAATTATTCGAATATCAGTCATCTTCCGTGTTTTGGTTACTTCATGTCCAATTCTTGCGATGGAATTATTTGCTTTTTTGGGATGATTAATGTCTTTGTTTACAATCCTGGAACTAGAGAGTTTCGGACTGTCAAGATGCAAAAGAAGGGATTCTCCCCTGTTTATTCCGGCAGTATTGATTTTTTCGGTGCGCATTTTTGTTCCCTTAACTTTGATAATCCTGTGAGAACATGTTTGTATATTGTTTGTTCTATAGAGGTTAATCTTTGCCTTGAATTTCAGAGACATAGGATTGTGTATAGTTCTGTTATTGTTCCTTAATGAAGTAATTGCAAAGCAGGGGATGGGCAGGGTTAAGGGCCAGATGGCCTGATTTGAGCTTTTGAAGTGCTCTCTGTTTTTCTTTGGTATCTTCTTCGTAGGAAACTAATAATAGAGCTTATTATGATATCTTCTTTGCAGATCGAATATTCCCCAAGGATTTCTTTGTAGGGTTTGGTCGTGATCAAGTTACAAACGAATGCAAAATTATACGATTGTTTACACCTAAAGAAGAAAACCCTATTCATGAGTGCGAGGTTTTTACATTGAGTTCAGATGCTGGGGCTTCATGGAGGGGCCTTGGCGAAGTTGCTTACTTTATTAGGGCAGCACAACTACCTGTCTATCTCAATGGAGCACTTCACTGGATCCTTGACGTTAGACATGCTAACCCTTCCGAGGTGATCGTCTCCTTTGATCTCCATGCTGAGAAATTCCAAGCAATATCACACCCAAGTTGTTTCTCAGAAGTCTCAGATCGTAGAATGCTGGAACGTATGGGGTTACTGTCCTTGAGAAGCTCTCTATGTCTAGTAGAAGGAAGTTACAAGGGGCCGCCTGCGCAGCTGAACATTTGGATAATGAATCAAAGCAATGGAATTTGGGAGAAGATGTTTTCTATTAATTGGGGATTGATGACAGATGGAATTGCATTGGCATTTCCAATAGCAGAACTCAAGGATGGAACCTTTTTGGTTTTACGTTCCGGGAGAAACTTACATATATTTGACCCAGAGAGCCAAAGTGATAGTGAAGTGTTGATACAACATGAAAAATTCGTTAATTACTATGCATACCCTGAAAGTTTAGTCCCTCTTTATGGAAAGCCACTGGCTGAAATGAGATGTCATGCTAAGTGTTGTCTTGGTTAATGGCAGTCATGCACCTAATGCATGTTTTGAATTGATGTTTAGGTCCTGATTATGATATTAGAGCATTGCAGTGAAAAAGCTACGTTAAAACTTTGTTTTTAAAGCTTTCAATTGTATATATACTTCAGTTGATGAATATCAGGTTCGGCTGCCTTAGTTTTCTGTTTTCTGCTCTGTTTTCTCTTCATTTATGGCTGCATGCCTTACTGACATTAGTCTGTTGTAGTCGTGCAAAACACAATTGATGATTGAGCTTCTTTTTTTTTTGTACGTTAACCATGAAGGTCAATAAAATCTTCAAAACAGTGATATTGATATCTAGGTCGAAATAATTTCATAATTTTTTATTTTTTCACTGTAATGTTCTAATAGTTGTACTTATATATATACTACTATCTCAAGCTTGGGTTATTGACATCACAATAATACTAGTAGTCAACCCTTAAACTAATGTTTGGTCCCTCAGATCTTTTTAAAAGAATTGAGAGATATATGAGCAAATATTTATTTTTATTATTTTTTAGACAAGACATTATCTTTGTTTGATTTAGCATACATAATGGATGATGTAGAATTGGTTTTTTTAACTATTAATTGATAGCTTCAATAGTTAAAAGAAAAAAAAACTAATTTTTAAACAAAAAAAAGTCAAATCACCTTTTAAACATAATTCAAGGTTTTTAAGATTTACCCTAATAATAATAGAAATATTAGAAGAAAATCAACCTGATTTTGCTACAGTTTCATGGCAGCCTCTTACAAAGAATTTGAGAGACACAGAGAAAGAGAGAAATAAATAATGGCAGGACGCGGAACAAGCCTGATAAACAACTATTGGCTGGAAGATCTTCGCCTTTTGATCTTGGCTACCCTTCGTGCCAAGTCTGTGTTACGACTCAAATCCGTGTCCAAGCAATGGCAATCACTGATCATCAACCCTTATTTCATCGAACAACACCTTGAGAGGCAACAGAAAAAAATTACCCTCAATTGATATTTGCCTCTAGAGAATCTAAACTGGACCTGGTTTTGGAATCCGTGGCCAAAGTCGATGTTGAAGTTGGTGAGGAAGAAGGAACAAAGACCACCAGGATAGGTTTCAAACGAACTTCTTCGGATATCTGTCGTCTTCCGCGTGGTGATTCCTACGTGTCCACTTCTTGCGATGGAATTCTTTGCTTCCTTAGGAAAAACAAAGTCTTTCTTTACAATCCTGCAACTAGAGAGCATCGGATTGTTAAGATGATAAAGAAGGGATTCTCCCCTGGTACTTCCTGCCCTGCCGGTACTTTGGGTAGGCTTTTGTTTTTTTTCCTCTCCTCGTTGTTTTATGTTTAGATAGATAGAATAAAAACGAATGTCTCACCTGATTCTGCATTTGAATAGAGAAGTCAATCTGAATTGGTTTAGATAGCTGGAAGAGATGAATTAGAAGGATTGCATGGTGATCCTTTCATATCTCCTTAAACCACAGGCTTTCGAAAGGGAAAAACGAATTGCAAAATTTTGTGTCACCTAAATTAGCTCTGATAATCCCTTGAGAACATGTTTTTATATTGTTTGTTCTATAGAGGATAACCTTTGCCTTGAATTTCAGAGACAAAGTATTGTGTATGGTTCTATTAATGTTCCTGAATGAAGTAATTGCAAAGCTGGGGATGGGCAGGGTTAAGGGCTACATGACCTGCTTAGAGCTTTTGAAGTGCTCTCTGATATTTTTATGCAGCTCCTTGCTATCTTTGCCCCCATATTCTCATTTTAAAAATATGTTTTACCTCTGAAAGAAAAACCACTTTGAAGCAGCAATTATTGGTATCTCTTCAAAGTATTTCTTAGTAGGGTTCGGTCGTGATCAAGTTACCAAAGAATGCAAAATTATACGATTGTTTAGACCTAAAGGGGAACAAGAAAACCATGCGTGCAATGTTTTTACATTGAGTTCAAGTGCTAGCGCTTCATGGAGGGGCCTTGGCGTAGTTGCTTACTTCATTAGGCCAGCACAACAAGCTGTCTATGTCGATGGAGCTGGATCCTTGACGCTAGACATGCTAACCCTTCCGAGGTGATCGTCTCCTTCGATCTCCATACTGAGAAATTCCAAGCAATATCACACCCAAGATGTTGCTCAGAAGCCTTGGATCGTAGTATGCTGAATCATATGGGAATACTGTCTTTGAGAAGCTCTCTTGTCTAATTGAAGGAAACTCCTGACCGTCTGGTGGCTGATATATGGATAATGAATCAAGCGATGGAATTTGGGAGAAGCTGTTTTCTATTTAGAGGTCTATTTTGTATTTCCGATAGCAGAACTCAAGGATGGAACCTTTATTGTTTCCCATTTCGGGAATGAATTGAAAATATTTGATCCAGAGAACCAACGTTTTAGTGAAGTATTGATAAAACATGGAGGATTTGTTGTGTACTATGCATACTCTGAAGTTTGCTCCCTCTTTATGGAAAGCCACTGATGTATTGACACTGTTACATACCATTACCAAAGTTTCGACCAAGATTTCATGGTAACTGTTGAATTTAGACTTACATTGAAGACTTGCAAGCCTTGTCCCCTGTCAAATGCCCATGCCTGACTGTTTTTGTCTTGGTTAATGTTAGTTATGCACCTAATGCATGTTTTGAATTGATGTTTAGGCCCTGTTATGAGATACAGTATTGCAGTGTAAAAGCTACGTTTAAACTTCCTTTTTAAAGCTTTCCATTGTACACATGCTTCAGTTAATGAATATCATGCTCGGTTGCCTTAGTTTTCTGTTATCTGCTCTTCTTTTCTGTTTTGTTTTCTTATGGCTGCATGCCTTGCTGATATTAAGCTGTTGTAGTAATGCTTACAGATATTGAATGTTGAGCTTCACTTAAGCTATACAGCAACAGTAACTTTGAAATGAACAGACCATGTTGCTGGGAAAATCTTAAACAGGTTCCAATTTAGGGGTATACAACAATAAATACACTCTCCCCTCCCCTCCCTCCTTCCCAACAACATCAACAGAAGAAAAAGAAAATTAAAAAAAAAAAGAAGAAGCTGAATTCAAACAGCAATTCTTCAAACATCATGCAATCTTGCTACTTAAATTCCTTGTATATTAACTGTCATACCATTTGAACTTCACCCATAGATTTAGATCCTACATAGGAGAAATCATCTGTATCATACACTTTATTATGTTTAGAAGTGACAAATCTCTCTCCATCATGCCATAAAGCAAAGGCTTGCTCACCATGGACGGTATCATCACCAATTTCCAATTCTTCATCCGATAATCTTAATGGGACTATTAACCTGATGAACCAACAAATGATGCTAGTCATAACGATGTTTAAGACAATCACAAACAGCATGGCTGCTAGTTGGATTCCCATCTGTTTAAATCCAGCAGAAGTTCGACCATTCTGTAGACCATATGCTAGGCCAAGGTATTTTTCCCAATCCGGCACCATGTAGAAAAGACGGCATAGTTTTGGGACAGCAAAGAAGCCTGTGAGGATGCCTCCTAGGGCTCCTGCAATAGCATGAGTGTGGAAAATGGCCATGGGGTCATCAACCAGCTTCAAAAGCTTAACCTTCTTTTGGAGCACCATCATGGTGTACCATGGAACACTTCCTGAGATTATCCCCATTAGGATAGCCGCCCAGCACTGGACTACACCTGTTAAATCCTCAGTTTAGTGTATAAATAGTGTTATTGTCATTAACTATATTGTTTTCATTTGCCTGGAGCAAAGAAATGAATCAGTTAAAGATTTTATACCTGAAGCTGGGGTGATGCAAACCAGGCCAGTGATCATGCCCTGGATGGCACCAAGCACGGAGGGCTTCCCAAAGAAAAAGCTGTCAAGGAGAAGCCATGTCAATAGGCTGGTGGCAGTGCAAACGTGGGTGTTAAGGACAGCGAGAGCTGAAACAGTACTGGCCGAGAACGTAGCTCCGCCATTGAATCCACTCCACCCCATCCAGAGCAATCCTGCTCCCGCAAGCATCAGGATTATATTGTTTGGAGGGAAACTGTCCCTGTCCTTCTGTGCTCTGGGGCCAACCTGGAAGAAATCATCAGATTGAATGGCCTTTTCAGAAAAGCCTACTTTCCACAGAATGTTGCATTGGTGCTTACCCAAAATGCTGCAGTGAAACCAGAAACTCCTGCTGAAAGGTGAATAACAAATCCACCGGCGAAATCTATAACACCTAGCTTCGCCAACCACCCTTCTGGACACCATATACTAAAAGCTGCTATTGTATACGAAAATGTAAACCATAATGGCACAAACAATATCCATGCACGAAAATTCATTCTCCCTAAAAGTGCTCCGGCTATTAAAACCAATGTGATTGCTGCAAACACTGACTGGAAAAACACCATTGTCGCCGTAGGAAAGTACCCCAGAAACGCCCGCCCCAGCAAGAATTTCTCATCTAATGCAACAGCTGGTTTTCCTAGGAAAAACACAAGTTTGTCACCGAATGACATGCGGAAACCCCACCCTACCCAACACACGAGAACCATCGCAAAGGCATAAAAGGCCATGAAAGCAGAGTTTATCGCCCATTTCTTTTTCACCATGCTTCCATAGAGGATCACAAGGCCAGGGATGCTTTGGAGGCCTACCAGGGTTGCCGCCGTTAGCTGCCATGCATTGTCACCTTTGTTCATCCACTCAGGGCTAGCCTCATCAGGTGAAAGGTTGGAAGGTAGCTCCATGGGAATCAACAAATTAGGAAACGTTTTATTTGATATGGATTTTGGCTTTACAAATGTCAAGTATAAAGTTGATTTGAAGTCTAAATGGGGAAGAAATTTAGTGAGTGTGTATAGCTGTTTTATATGCATTTGCCTGGATGTGTTGTTTATTTACTTTTATTGGTATTAAGGCCCTGAGGCCGGCCATGCAGGCAAGTTGGCTTCATCTTTGAATTTTCTTCAGTACTTGTTGAAATGGACAGTAAACATAAAAGCATATTTAATCTTAAGGGTGCTTGTTAAGATTCCTATTGAAGAAAATATGTTCATTCTTTTTTGGTTTCAATTATAACTAGAATCTCCTGTTTCTTTCTTATTGATTCATCGCCTTTCATTTGTCTGACTAACACAGAAGCTTGTTTTCATTCTTTGACAGGGGTGTTTCAGGATTTCTGCTTGAAGTTATGTAGGAGTTGATGTGACCCTTTTTGTCCCTCTTTCTTTGCAGTGCCGGCTTGGCCTCAAGATGGCAATTAGCAAGGCGGGGCAACAACCCATCAGACATCTTGGCTGGGTCCTGCAACTGAGGCTTTGAGTCTTTTCTCTTCCAGTTTCTGACTGGTCAATTTAAGAAACTGCTTCCCTGCATGAGATTGTCTCCTCCTCTTACATTCTTCTTTTCTGTTTTTCTCCTGGAAAAGAACAGGTATTAGAATGAAACAAACACAAAGAGAAATATCAAACAGGGCCCTCAATCAAGTCCAAGCTCATGGGACTGGTTTCTGGAAGCTTTCAGACTGGCAAAAGTAGAACTTTACCCAACCTGACCCTCACGGCAACGGTTTATATTCAAAACTATTTCGCCTATCATAATCTACTAAATGAAACCCATTAACGAACACAGAAAGAGAAAGAAAACAATAATTATAAACAAAATCATTATGTAATTATTCTATGGGACATTTTGATACGAAATGTAAAAATTTTCGTTTGATTTATTTACGCGAAAATTTCAAAAAAAAAATCTTAATTGATGGATACGGAACAGAAAATTTTGTCAAAGTGCCGTGTTCATCACATGTTTGAAATAGAATGCAAGTTTACGAATAAGCAGACAACCAATAGTTATGAACTAACAAAAGGAAGTCCACCGACGCTTTGTTGAAATTGTACGGTATACAGACCAAGTTCGAGGAAAGAAGAGACACTTGCACATTGGCTTGGTCCCTATCCTCAGTCCAATTTGCTTAAGATCAATTTCAAATAATCCCATAATTAATTAATCGTACTATATGTCATTTAATTAATATCTTAGTGTTATAACCACTTGGATTTATTTTTAATTCTGGAGTGATAAGAGTAAGATGAGATTTAGGTACAAGGCATATGCTTGAGCTGCCATAGTTATTGACTTTCTCGATTTAATTTATTTCTTTGTGCCTAAAATTTAATTCAAACACGATTAAATCGATAGCTATATTAATTTTTCCCAAACAATTTATTTCCATAACAAAGAAATGCAATGAACTCGAACTATTTCAAAAGTTTGACAAACTAATTGATGAATACACGTTGGTCAAGAAAGAAACCATCAAGTTATTAGACATTCGATCATTACAAAGTTCCAGCCTTCTGTTTGAATTAGTCAGTCTCAGTTCTTCAACTACTGCTCCCTTTTTCAATTCAATTAGCATGTTGAAGTTTCTTTGCATGGACAAACTGATGAAGACAACGAATCAAAACCATAGCAAATAAAAAGATTGACAAATCTCAAGAAACTGACAGCTCGATGCAATTCAAAAATTAATATATAAACACCATTTACAATGTGTGTTTTTGTTTTAATTTATTCGTGTGGTGGTCACCATGAATAAGACATGTTTGATAATATAATTTTGCCCATGAAAGATTCAATTGTAAAGTGTTGAAAAAGACATCGAATAATAAATTAATATTTTATATAATTTAAAATTAATATTTTATATTTCATTCAAATCAAATTAATTATTTTATTAATTTTTTTTTACTGTGAAAGTGAATTTTATTTCTATTCGTTGATCCATTCATGATAACTCAGTGAATTTTTTTTTTACTCTCCAATTATCACAAAATATTAGTATAACAATTTTTAAGATGTTGCTGACATAGATAAGACTAAGCAAAAGCTTTAAGTTTGGAGTTGGCTGATTTTATCAAAAGTCAAAAAGGGGAAATTCACAACATGAATGGGGAGAAGCTATGAAACCTAGTTTACATTTTCTTTGACAAACTAAAAAGTCTGTCTATATTTGCCACTTGCCCCCACTTGGATTGTAAGAGGGTTTGGCTGAAGTATGGTACCAATACAATTCATAGTGCTCTACCCATTTAGCCAAAAGAAAAGAAAAGAAAAATTCTACTATCTGATTTTGAGGCAAATTAATTTTCAGAGCTAAAATCCTCTGTTTTCTAGTATTAAATTAAATTTCTGGGATATTTGATAAAGTGTAATTTAATTTAACTTTAATTTAATTCAATTTGAGAGGTAATAGTTTATATCCCAAGATCGTATGCATACATCCCCCAGAAAATATGCATGCATGGAAAGATTAATTTGATGGTCCAAATAGTGTATAGTCAAATATTGTTAATGGGAACAAAAATATTCACAAAGTCATTATAATGCTAGGCAGCTGCAAACGGCATTGAATGCGACCCCAAAGACCAATGACAAGACTTTTGAATGGAAATGGACTTTGAAATTAATTAATAAAAACCCAACAACTTTCCAGGAAATTCACTGGCTGCAATTCTTCTGGTCTTCATCATTGTTTCACTATAAAATGCTTTGAACCTCTTGGGATTCAACATAAGTACTAGCCGGTGAAGATTGAGAGTGCTACCCAAGCATTCTTCACTGTTTCTTTCTGTTATTTTCCACTGGGGGTTTTCACATTGATTAGCAAGCATGGGAGAAGTCCTGTCTGAAGAACAGATTGCTGAGTTCCAAGAAGCCTTCTTTCTCTTTGATAAAGATGGTGATGGTAACGTTTCTTCTCTATCTTTCTTAAGATATGTTCTTCTGTTTAATGGGAAAATAGCACCCTGATTCTCTTCTGTTCAATTACTTCTGGACTGACACTTTAATCAATACTAAAGGCTGCATAACCATGGAAGAACTGGCTATCGCGATCAAGTCATTGGATGAGAATCCGACAGAAGAAGAGCTGCAAAACATGATCAATGAAGTTGACACTGATGGTAATGGAACTATAGAATTCGGGGAATTCTTGAATCTCATGGCAAGGAAAATGAAGGTAATGCATATGTGGTGTTACCAGCTTGATAATACAGTCTAATTTTTAGCAGCAAGCAAGACTGATTCCGTGAAATTTTTTTTTTATTGCACTTTGCTGATAGGAAGCAGAAGCAGAAGAGGAACTGAAAGAAGCTTTCAGGGTATTTGACAAGGATCAAGATGGCTACATATCACCTTTTGAGGTTGATTAATTCTTCAATTAACCTTTCAAATAGAACATCGATTTGCGCAAAAAAAAAAGGGCTCCTTATATTCTTCTTTGTTAATTTTGAATGTATTTGCAGTTGAGGCAAGTGATGATCAACATAGGAGAGAAGCTGACAGATGAAGAGTTAGAGCAGATGATTAGAGAGGCAGATTTGGATGGAGATGGTCAAGTTAATTATGAGGAATTCCTTAGAATGATGTTGGCTGCTGGACCAACTACTTCTCCTGCAACTTAATAGGTTTAAAGTATTTTTTTTTTATAATTAAAGAAAAGGGATTCAAACTCAAGTACTAAGTTTAAAGTATTGTTTTACAACTTAGGTTGCATGCTTTTAGATTAATCAATATGCTTATGTATTTATAAGTTAAACTCCTTGTATACTTCAATTAAGAATAGGAAGGGCTGACCAGAGAATACGATAAAGGAAGGGGAAATTGATTCTTGTAACCTTAACATAATATTACAGAAATTTGTACTATTTCGAAGCCAATTAGTAGGATTCACTACATTGGATTCGACTTGATAATAGAGTTTTCAATAATATTCTATAATTTTGATGAATAAGGAAGTGCTTAATGATTGTAGAAACTAGAAATATTGGATCATTGATCTCGTCAAACGATTCTATGTGACCAATTTTTGTAAGCAATTGAAGCATATATGGTAAATTAAAAAGGCTAGCACCTAGCAACCCAAATGAAGAAATGCCCACCAAACCTAATTCGGCCTGGGCCAGGCTAGATGAGGGAAAGCAATAAGTTATTAGATTAATTAAAATGAATATGACTTGCTGAGATTTAGCATGTAATAAGGTTGAGACCTAAAAGGATGGTTTTCGTATTCAAAATATTAGAGGTTTCAATATGGACTGGTCTGGCCAGCCTATTTTTTACATTGGCTATGACAACCTCAACCCAACCCACCCTTCCTAGCCCATGGGTTGGGTTGGGCTAAATGATTTTTTTTAAAAAAAGTTATTTTTATAATTTTACTTAATAAATTTTTTATTAATAAAATGATCTATAATTTAATCCATAAATTGAATAACAAAAACATGTTACAAATAAATAAATTATACTAAATATAAATAAATAAATAAATTACATAAATAAAATTTAAATCTTTAATATAAAATACCATCTCATAAATATAAGTATATAACCAAATAATATAATTTTCAAAACTCATTTATGTCCTCCTCAATTCTTACTCTTCAATAAAACATTTAAATTTTGTTTAGACAGCAATGATGTCTCAATGTTTGAATTATTATCAATTTATCATCTAATGTTCATTATCATAAAAGAAAAAGAGATAATAAGTTTTAATCTAAATTAAAATTATTAATTGGACAAATAAAGATTAAAGATATTGAAATATATAAAATAAGTAATACCATTTATAACCAAATTATTAATTTTATATAGTTAAATATATAAAATTATTAATTTTTTTGACCCATAGGGCTAGCCCTCCCCAACCCACCTCATCCCACTTATTTGATGAACTGCTCATTTAAGCCCGATTTTAATATAAATCCAAATTTTTAAATTCAACCCACTTTCATATTTAATAAAATATGAACTAACTCAAAGGACCAGACCCATTTTAACAGGTTTACTTAATAATCTAGAGATGACAATCGGGTAGGGCAAGATGATTTTTTGACCATTCCGAACTCAACTCTACTCTTATCTTTTTCTTAATTCAAACTCATCCCGCCTCAGTGTTGAATTGAATAAAAATTTTCTGTCTCCATTTGGTGTCTCTATATTGACATCTCTACCTTATTGTTATGTCATTTGTCCACTCTTTGTATTCAAAAGCTAATCGGAGTACATCTTAAATCCAAATAAGGCATTGATAAATAAAGGAGTGGGCATGTGATTTAATAATATGAAAGAGGCGTCAAAAGAGATATCAAATGAGGGCAGAAGATTTTTATTCAGCTATAGTAGATTTTAGATTAATTAAGACACCAAAATATTACGAAGTAAATTATTGGTGGGTTGGTACATTTGTTGGCAACTAAATTGGAACATATATGGTTTTGTTTCCTAAGGCCCTGGAATTGGTAGTCTTCGAGCTTGTTGAAATAAGTAGTTTTCTTACTTGGCATATGCATGTCTGAGGCACAAACTCGGTGGGTGATGTAGGGGTGCACGACCTGTCCATGCCAGGTTTTAAACCTGAATAATCTTTGATCTGAGGTGTGTGCTTTGCTTGCAGTAAGGATGGTGGTAACAAGATGCCACGGTTTTCTTCGGCTGTTTTTGGAGTCTTTGCCGTGTGCGTTGAGTCAAAAATTGTAATGTCGCATGGAATCTGTTATTGAAATTTCATAAAAATAGATTTAAATTCATATTTAATGTCTTTTATTTCACCTTTAATATTTTAAATTAACTCATCTTGATTTTTTTTAAAAGCTAGATTCTCGAACCGACACAATTGTCAAATTCATCGGCACTAACTAATTAACACCATTACGAGAAATCTAGTTAGAATAGCGAGAAGACCTTCCCATTCAGACAGCTTTAGGAAAATTCATTTCTTTTTACGGGTTATTTTGTGCTGTAAGACCCTCCTCTTATTTCTTGAACATAGAGCTTCAATTTGCCTTCATTGATAGGAATTAACACGAGTAATCAGAAATCTTATAGGTTGTTTAGTTCCCGACCCATGCTAAGATAAGATGTCCTATCCTATATATAAGGATCGTATATTAAAAATTAATTCCAATGAAGAGTCATGAGTGTAAGAATACCAACAATCGAGATGAATGAATTTATCAATTGACTTAATCTCTCGTTAATAAATGAGTCAATTGACAGATAAAGTGCATACTCACAGTGTACCGTAGGCTTCACATAGAAGGAAAAGGAAAACAATCAGATTAATTGCTGTTAGTGGAGAGAAACTCACGTGATTCTTTCTCTTATGTCAAAAGAAAAAGCCATCTTCTACTTAAAAAAGTTTAAAGTTGAAGCTCGATTCATCTTTTTCTCATATACTCTCCGTTAGTCTTCCTCCTTAATGTTGACATTGTATCTTCCAATTCCATAGGAAAAGAGATGGAGAGAATTACTTGGAAGGAAAGACTTGAGTTAAAAGTTTACCTCGAATCTAGGCTATAGCAAAAGGTAAAAGCAAAAGCAAACTAAGAAGGTAAGAAGATAGGAATATAGATTAATTAATCTTTAGTGCTATGAATTAATTTAACTATTCTTCTTCTTTCTAATTATATATTGGGAAGAAGGAAGATTTTTTCTCTAGTAGTAGTGTCGCTTTCTTCTTTAACTGGGGTGGAAAACTAATGCACCGGCTTAGAAAAATAAGTCTAGGGCATTGTAATTGGTAGTGCATATACAGACTTAAGGGGTAAAGTGCAATTGGAGTGGGAAATTTGATTCAACCCCAAGAATTTCATTGACCTTAGAGTGCAAGGCATCTCAAAGAATGCTTGACTAAAGTGGATTCTTGCCTAGCAGTTGTATTGCACTCAAGCAATGATAGTGACGAAGAATATTGTTGCCTCTACAGCTTGCCTAGGAAGAGCCAAAATGATAGCCAAAATAAAATTGTGGCATCTTAGCTTGAATCCAGTATTGTTGGAAAAAGAAAATCGTGTTTTTTCGAGAAAGATATTTAAATTTATTTTTTTGAAAAGGAATATGCATACTTACTATTAAACCCAATATTCAGATCCATAAAACATGCTTATTTTAAAATTAAATAAAAAAAAAAGCTTTAGTCTAAATAATTAAAAGGCTAAGGGAATTAATGTGAAACGTGCTTCGAAGGCATATTGAGATGCCTTATCCCATCCAGGTATGGAGGAATCCACTTTCTTTTTATTAATATTTAAACTTTTCCTAAGAATGTTTGGTAGAAGGAAAGGGGAAAGAAAAGGAAAGAAAGAGAAAAACCTAATTAATTTATCTTTTAATTATTATAATGATGAAGATGAAAGGTTGAAAGAAAGCAAATTTATTTTTATATCTTGTTGCCTCCTGTTCTTGTTTCCCTAACCAACATCTAGTAGAATCTAACTACTGTGGTAATCGGAATATCCCATTAAAATTTTAAATTTAAGCTTGAAGGTTCTCAGAATTCAAATTGTAAGTTGGGGATTGAATTTTTTTGGATCTTTTTATATAAAAAAAATGGAGCAAAAGTCCTGCTATGTGCAATAAGGAAATCAGTGGGAAATTGCTATATATGGTGCATAATGCACATGCTTCTTAGTGAAAATATTTGATTCTATAAGATCTTCTCGTTCCCTACATATTTATACACCTCTCTTTGGAAGTTCTTTTCAACATGTTTCTGCTATTACCCAAAGATCACTCCTATGATTTTTTTATTACCAGCACTAAACTATCCATAAATGGAAATATATATATATATATATATATATATAAATATACTTTCCCCCTTTAGTACGTTGATGGAAATATATGAATTCTAAGGAAAATTATATCAATTTGACACAAAGCACATGATATCATGTTTCAACCAAGGCAATTTCAAAGTCATTGATACATAAATTGATAAGAGAAAAGTCTTAACAACTCTTTAGACAAAGGGTGTGATCATGCAGGCGTTGTGGGGGTACTTCTTCTTTGACAAGAAATTATACCTAGAGACCAAGAGCTATCACATTCACTTCCCAATGTTTAAGTGGAAATTTCTTGCCAACTTCACATCCCACAATCCTATGCTTGTCCCACTCTTCTGCAAAATCTTGCAACACAAGGAGGCCTTAATTGACATTTGAAGTAGTAAAGTCTAAGACTTGTCCCATAATCTGAGAACATGATAAAGGAGAAGGAAGAATAAAGAGGAAAATGGAATTTATTTACTTATATATACCAATATATGAACAGAATCAAAATAAATTTCATTATTGAGAGGACCAGATATTGGAATATACCATGGAATTATAAATATTGAAAGGAAAATCAAGAATGAGGAATCCACAGGTTTGAAGTTTCACTATTGAGAGGGCCAGATATTGGAACTATGCACACAAGTCCTCTATCATATACTTAATATTTTCAATCAAATAAATTTATTCGGTGTTTTTAATTCATATATGCTTAGATAAACTTCTGTCATTTAATATATTTCCCCTCCTTCCTTTACATTTAAATCTAACAATTTTTCAAATTAATTTATTAAAGTATTATTAGCTATATTAAGACATACAAAATGTGTGATTGAAGCATTTATCTTGTACTCTATAATTAAAGTTTACATTGAGCTTAGGAAGTTGTCTCATCTCAATTACATGATTTTTAGTTAGTATATTATTTATCAATACATTTAGCAAGACATGCATCACGGGTTTATATTTACAATCCAAAAAACCTACTATTACATAAAATAAGATCCGTATTTATAAATTTAAAATTTTACTTTATCTTTTATTAGTGACACATACACATACTTTTAAATCAAATACACTAATGTTCATAGAGATTATTATCTTTTTCGAAAAAGGCCTCATTATTAGAGAATATACTAAACTTAGAAACTTAGCCTTAAAAAGCCGCAAGAAG